GTAGAATCAGCTAGAACCATTTCTACTGTATTTAACTAACTCAGCTTAGTATTGAATTTTAAATGGAAACTTTTGATGTAATCATGAAAATGTTTAAATTTTTTCCTTTAAATATAGGCAATGATACTTCTGAAGAGTCATCTCAGTTCTCGTACATCTTCTGAAAATGAAAAATCTGCATCGGAGCGTAGGTCACGGGCCACTCGAAGTGATAGAGGTAATTTAAGTTTTCATATATTGCATTAATACTTTACCCTTTTGTGAGTTTTGCACTTTAAAAATGTTTTACAGTTCTTTTTATGTATCAAAAAACAAGGCATCAAATTAATTTTTTTTCAAATCAGAAAATTCTGGATTTTGAAGTTTGGATTGACAAGGATAAGTTGTTTTTTAGTGTTTTCCATCTATCATAATTATATTTTCCCATAGCTTTTAAGAACTGATTGACTTACGTAGAATCAGCTAGAACCATTTCTACTGTATTTAACTAACTCAGCTTAGTATTGAATTTTAAATGGAAACTTTTGATGTAATCATGAAAATGTTTAAATTTTTCCTTTAAATATAGGCAATGTTACTTCTGAAGAGTCATCTCATATTCTGCGTTCTCGTTCATCTTCTGAAAGTGAAAAATCTACATCGGTGTCAGTGACCACTCGAAGTGGTAGAGGTAATTTAAGTTTTCATATATTGCATTAATACTTTACTCTTTTGTGAGTTTTGCACTTTAAAAATGTTTTACAGTTCTTTTTAAATTAAAAACAAAAAGCATTTATTTAATTTTTTTTTTTAAATCAAAAAATTCTGGATTTTGAAGTTTGGATTCACAAGAATAAAGTGTTCTTATAATGTTTTCCATCTATCATAATTATATTTTCGCATGGATTTTAAGACCTGATTAGCTTACCTAGAATAGACTAGAACTATCTATACTGTATCTAACTAACTCAGATTAGTATTGAATTTTAAATGGAAACTTTATATGTAATTGGGAAAATGTTTAAATTTTTTCCTTTAAATATAGCCAATGATGCTTCTGAAAAGCCGCCACATGTTCTGCATTCTTGTACATCTTCTGAAAATGAAAAATCTGCATCGGAGCGTAGGTCACGGGCCACTCAAAGTGATAGAGGTAATTTAAGTTTTCATATATTGCATTAATACTTTACCCTTTTGTGAGTTTTGCACTTTAAAAATGTTTTACAGTTCTTTTTATGTATCAAGAAACAAGGCATCAAATTAATTTTTTTTCAAATCAGAAAATTCTGGATTTTGAAGTTTGGATTGACAAGGATAAGTTGTTTTTTAGTGNTTTATGTGTTTTGTCCTTTTCAATAAATATTTAGAGTTAGTAGTTAATAAATATTTAGAGTATGTGAATTGGTAGAAATACAAATAAACCAAGACTTCCCCTACAAACTGATTAAGTTACGTAGAATCAGCTAGAGCCATTTCTACTGTATCTAACTAACTCAGCTTAGTATTGAATTTTAAATGGAAACTTTTGATGTAATCATGAAAATGTTTAAATTTTTTCCTTTAAATATAGGCAATGATACTTCTGAAGAGTCATCTCATATTCTACGTTCTCGTTCATCATCTGAAAATGAAAAATCTACATCGGTGTCAGTGACCACACGAAGCGATAGAGGTAATTTAAGTTTTCATATATTGCATTAATACTTTACACTTTTGTGAATTTTGCATTTAAAAAAATGTTTTACAGTTCTTTTTATATATCAAAAAAAAAACATTAAACTTAATTTTTTTTTAAATCAGAAAATTCTGGATTTTGAAGTTTGGATTCACAAGGATAAATCATATGTTCTCTCTGCAGTGAGTCCATGTCAACCATGTGATTTGTGTTTGCAATGTCTAACTAACTGGATAAGAATCCTTTGAATGTTTAATTCTTTTTTTTTTTTTTGGTATATCCAGCCCGAGAATGTTTAGGCACATTACTTCTTTGGTTAATATGTTCTTAGTTTTTATTAACTAAATAAATATTCTACCTTTTTTTTAAAATTTATTTTACTTTCTGTGATGATGTGAAATTTTTCTTTACCTTGACCAAATTCTATGCAATTTACTTCTAATGTAAGAATTTCCAGCAAACCACAAAAAAACTGAAGTTATTTACAATATTTCATCAGTCAAACATGGATTTGTAACAATGTTGCAAAACTATTTTTTAATTGTATTCCATGTTGCAAAAAGTAATTAAATTGAAATTTTGTCATTGATGTTTTAAAAAATGTTTTTATTTCTACTTGCCATGTCTTTGTTTTTGCTGTAACATTCTAGGAATTATTTTTTGCTGAATGTGCAACTATAAAGAAAAATATTTATTTTTATTATTTATACAGAAGTTTTAACATAACTTATTTTTCTAGGTAACAGAAGCTCTAGTGAAACAAAATCTAAAACAAAAGTGTAAGCTTTTTTTTATTTAAAAAAGTATTTGATTTTTAATAATAAAAAATTGCTAAAATGCATGCTGTTTTATGATCCATTTTTTTAATAAAACTATCCATATTTTATGGGATTTATTTATCCGCCCTTCATACTGCAGATAAACATAACTATCTAACCAACAGCTATCAAGTTATCAGAGACAAGAATTGAATTGCCTACGCTATATTTAAAATTTTGTAAAATAGTCTAATTATAAACAACAAAATTCTTTTAACTAATAAGAAGGATACATAATATTTCACAACTGTTATATACTTTATTTTCAACTTGCATACTTTGAGGTAGTAAAAATTAAACAATTAGTCAACAATAACTAAAATTAATCAATTTTAAATGATTTATCTTAGTTATAGTTTTTAATAAAAAAGTTATACTTAATTGAAAACATTTGAAATTTTGCATTTTCTACGGTTTCATAGTAAAAGTTGAATGCACAAGTACTCTTAAAATTTATTTTTAAAGAAATAACTAGTTTTTCAAGATGGGACGAACTTATCAAATAAAATATTGGAAATTAAGGGCTGTTGATAAAATATTAGCGGATTCCTTACAGTGATGAAGATAAAAACTAAATAAATATTAGAAAAATAAAAACTAAAAGTTCCTTTTTAAAATTTAAAAATATTAATAAATAAATTAGCAAGTTTTTAGAACACCAAGGGGAATTAATCTCACAAAATTCTGAAAAAAAAAATACAGGTTGTATCTTGAATTGAAAGCGTTTGCATAAAGTAATTTTTTGATACTCTTTTTAACTAATAATATTTAATCAAAATTTCATAAATTATACTATTATTCATAATGTTTTATTTTTTCTTGCATTATAATAATGTAGGAATATTTTAAAACAGTAACAGGTACAAAGTGACTTTTAAATTTAATGTTTTTTTCTTCTTTATTTTCTAGACCAAAAATTTTTGTCTATGATTCTCTTAAATCTGACAATAAGCAAGTAGTTACTAGAATAAGAAAGTGAGTATTTACTTTGCATTGATCAAAATTATGACAATAATGTATTAATAATTTTGCTATTGAATTGTGTCTGATATCCCATATCAGTGTTTCTTATTCTCTGTTTACAACTCTCAGCAGCATGCTACGTATTTAATTTTGGGTGATCTGTATCTTTCTTACACTGTTCATTATTTTTTCACATGTTATAAATTTCGAAGGAGACAGAAAAGAACAAAATTTGTTTAGTATAGAGCTCTGATGGCTCAGCAGTTAAGACACTGTACTGTCATTGTGCAGAACTGGGTTTCGATCCCCAGTGGCGACTTGAAGCCCACCCAGCCGTTGATCGATTGGTTCCAGCTTGTCTGGGAAGAAAACCGGCCTGTGCGCAGTACTGACCACATTGGTCATAAAACTGTGGAGTCCAGGGCTCGAAGAACCACTTGTCCGCCCGTCCTCGGCTGTCAAAAATTCCCCGCGGACAACAAATTTCTCGAATCCAGCGTCCGTGCGGACGGCCATTTTCCCGTTAATGTTCGTGATACATTTTCAATTTTTTTTAATCTTACAAGAGTCTAGCGCCTCACTTCTAAAATGACCCTCTAATCTCGAAATACAGCAACATGCTGCGCATGGTGGAATTGATGTTTTCTCTCTCTGGAAGTACTGCAGCGGTTGAAAGGGGCTTTTTAGCAATGAACTTAAAAAAAACACATTACTTACTGATCCTAAACAACAAGCGTTAAGCGCATTTATGAACATCTACCTAAGTGGAAAACCTCTTTCCAATTTCTGTGCAGAAACCTCTGTAAATCATTGGCTTTATTGTGGAACTGGCAAACGTCATATTTGATTCATTTAAAAAACGCAGTACCATCGGATAAATTGACATNTTTTCAGTATTCTGAGAAATACTGTGAAAAATAAAAATATATAGTCGTAAAAAATAATAGCCCGCATAACTTCTACTAAAATTTTTATTTTTACCATTTTGTCTGAGCTCAAGGGGGGAGTTTAAACCCCTCCCTTGCGTACACCCCTGGTATAGAGCTCCGATGGCTCAGCGGTTAAGGCACTGAACTGTCATTGGGCATAACTAGGGTTCCATCCTTAGTGGCGACTTGAAGCCCACCCAGCCGTTGATCGATTGGTTTCAGCTTGTCTGGGAAGTAAACCCGGCCTGTGCGCAGTACTGACCACATTGGTCATAAAACTGTGGAGTCTTAAACTCCATGAACTCTCTGGCCAACAACTAGCTGTTGTGAGAATGCTTTAGCCAACTGGACTGTGTAGGGGGTCAGGGAACTGGCCTTGCATCAGAAAGGCATGGCTGTTCTCTCATTCTCTGTCCTTACTGTAGGAGCAACATGGCCCACCTAATATGGTTTCCCTTAAATTGTGGCCTACAAATCTGCCCTAATACGCCTGAATTGACGAAATGTCAACCCAGGAGGGCATTGAAAACAAAAAAGTTAATTACTAAAAATTATGTACATGTATGGTTAATTTTTTGTCATACTCCTTGTGAAGATCTAGCAATTTTTCATATCAGTGAACTAGGTCTCTATTCACTCTTTAAAATCTTTTCCAACAGTAATTGTAATTAGTTATTGAGATTCGACTTAAATAATTCTAACATCTATTACAATTATCTGTTATAAAAATTTTACATTTTAGTGAAACTTCCATCCTTATTCAATGATATTGTTTTGCTTATAATATCTTATATTTGACGTTACAAGTGAAAATCAAAGTTTTCTGATGAAAAATTGCTTGATATTTATAAGATATGGTCTGGATTTTCATTGAAATTTTCCGGATATACCTGGAAAAGTCAGGGAATTTTTATCCTGAAATTGAATGGGAACCCTGAATAAATGTCGGAAATTTGTATTTTGTTTTAAATAATTATAGTACCCACCTATTTCCATTTTAATTAAATTGCACTGCCCTTATTTATGAAAAACTTTTTGGTTAAATTGTACTGAAATGACAAAACTAGCTGCTTCCGTTATAATCAGAGTACAAAATATATTCTCAATGTTATTTTCTTTCTTTCTGAAAAGCATTACTAAGAAATACTTTTTTTACATTTCATATCTAAATTAATGTTAAAATTGAAAATTTAATGTTTTTTTTTTTTATTTCTCAGAAAATTGAATGTGTTTAAAAAAAATTTTAAATTTTCCAAAATATTTTTTGTAGCTAAATAGTAAGAGTTAATTTTAATGTTTCAAATCCTATGTACATTTGTTTAATAACGATTTGTTTTGTTATTAGTTTTTTACAAGAAGAATGGGAATTCAAGAAAAAGGGAATAAAATCCTTTGATGAAAAAGTTCTTCCTCTTGGTCCTGAGAATAGTGCTGAGCAACTTGATAATCATAGTTGTGGATTATATGTGTTTTATTTTCTAGAAAAATTTTTCAAGGTAAGTATCTTTTCTAAGTATTAAAAAAAAATATCTATAAATGACTTGGGGATATATAAGTTACATTTTCAAGTTGTTCAGGAGAACCTTAATGTAAAAAAACACCATGATTCCCTTGTAAGAAATAAGATGTTTTTGTACCTTGTGCTTCCATCTAGATTTAAATTCAGCAACTTCTAAACTATGAATATCAAAATAATACTTTAAAATAGAAGTAAAAAACATGCTCTTTATAAATAGTGTAGCTGCTCACTCTATTTCCCCAAGATTTTCTTATGCTCTATGAATATAAATTTGGGAGTTTTTAGGAATTTATTCTTATAAAAAAATTATTTTTGTTCTTTCATTATATTCTTTTTGTTTCTTTCATTTTGTTCTTTCATAATACAAAGCCATTTCATACAATCTCTTTTAGGGTTGATTTAGATTATGCTGAACTTATAAAATTAATTTAATAAGTGCTGTCTTATAAAATTAATTATGATAAGTGCTGTCTGTTATATAAAATTATATCTTAGACAACAAATCGAATTGTTAGGAATTTAGTGCAAAAGTTTTCCTAATTGGGACATCATAAATTTAAATAAGGAAGCTGGTAGAGTGAGTTAAGGCCTGGTTACAAAACGTCAGCTTGAAGCGAGCGCTAACCCCTGATTGGTCAATTTGTGAGTTAGACAGCATACGTCATCAAACGCTCAGCATCAGTCTTTTTGCATAATTCGTAGAGAAAAATCAACATGGTAAAGGAAAATTCTCTTTTTGAAAAAGGGAAAATTAAGCACTTTTTAAAAACACCCAATGAAAAAACCACCTTTATGGGCTTTTAAAAAACGAAAATAAGCACTTTTTAAAAACGCTACACACCCTATATTAAATTTTAACTGTCTATTTGAGGATTAAGCAGTAGCCAGATTCTTTCAAATTTAATAACGCTGGGTTGGCTTTAGTTTTGGTTATATATAATCAATTGATAACTCCCCAAATTTTGGATCTCTTCCCATGCTTCCAAAATCGCCGTTAGCAACTATGCATTTACTGGAAATTTAATTTTCTTGGTGTTGAAATTGGAGTGTTTTTGGATGTCCAATGGCCCCTCAGTTCGATCTTTGAAAGTTTTGCAAAATTGTTATAAAAAAGAAATGATCTAAGACAAAACTGTCTTTGTCTCTGTAAGGAAACGATTAATATTTTGTTTTGTTTATATAATCTGTTTTTGAAGTCATAATTATGGCCATATTTTTTCATTTTAAAAATGCTGATTAATAGGCAAGATGTTTTTCGTTGTTTGATCTTATCTCTGCAGTATCAATGCAATAACTATGTATAAATGAAATTTTCACTATGACCATCTGCCATGATAAATCCCTTATGTTAACAACTATTTTTTTGATAGCTTTTTAGTTACATGGTAGAGGGGTATATTTAGCAATTATTATGCATAAAGATATTTTTTTTAAATTATATTTAAAAAAAAGCTTTTTTCAGAAAAAAAACTAGCAAATATAATAAAATGTATGCCCCAAAATGGAATTTTGACACCATGATGGGAATAATTTTGTGACGTAACACCTAGAGAGACTGTGTTTTAAGTTTTTGATTTGAACACTAAATGAAAAAAAAGAAAGATTCCAAAAAATTGAATTAGTTTTTAATTGTAATTAAAATAGTTACTAACTTAACATTTTTCCTTGCAGCTAAAATGTATTTATATCTTCTTTTTTTTTCTAGAAAAAAATGTTTGAGTCTAATGAAGAATTAACAATTGATGAACATTTCCGACCAGCCCTTAAAAGAAAAGAAGTCTTTGAAGCCATTTTAAAATTGAAAAAAACAATAGCTCCTGTTTAAAAAAAAAAGCCATTTCATTTGTTTAACTTGTCAAGTCTATAAGACTTCTCTTTGACTTATTAAAGACATTTAACAATCGGAATTTTGACGTTTATATGAGAATCAAGTTAGAATTCATATTGTGTGTATCTAGCTAACCTCCAATGATTCTAATTTCCCAAATATTAATTTTCCTTGTGACAATGTATGCACTGAATTCGTCTATAATTTCAGTTCACTTCATCATATACATATTTTTTATACTACCGATATATTTTATTTATATATTATATAATTATAATGAACAGTATCATTGTGAAATCTAAATTTTGACAATTTTTTAATTAACTTATTTGTTGCATATTTCTTATTCATTGCATTTACTTACTTTTTTTATATCTTATAATATATCTCTGTTAAAAAATTTTACAATGTCAACTACTAGTTTCAAACAGCTACGACAGATAACAGTTTTCAGTGGTAAGGTCACTGTAAAAATTGTTAGTGTGTGTAAAAAAAAAGGCTTTAAGGTAAAAACTTTGCTTGACATTTGTGTTAACCTCAGTACGCTGTGAAATTGTCCCAATATTTTCTTTTAAATGAATATTGTCAAGTTTTGAATTAAAAATCAAATTTTTTTTTTTTTCAAATTTTGTATCACATATTAAAAGTTAATAACTTACTCAAGAATCACTCTTATTGCATTGCTACAGTATTTTAAACATTTTTTGTATAAAAGTACGAAGAAAAAAATAAAGTATATAGACATTTTGTTTTTCAAATTTTGTGTACCGTGACTATGATTTAATTTTTTTTTAACAAAATGATGTTTACTTGACAAAGTGGCTCATATGTTTTCACACTCTTATAACTTCTGTTTTGTGCATCCATCAGTTTTATTAATTTTGGAATCATCAAAAAAAATTTTATTAAATTATTTTTATTTGGGATAATTTGCGATTTTTTTTAAAGTGAAGAAACAAATTTCATCACCTTAATTTTACTTCCTTATACTGAAAATCCCCCCTTTTTTTTTAACATACTGAGAGAGAAAAAATCAAGAGGTATTTTTTTTTTTAACTAAAAAAAAATAATAAAATGTAAATTTTAGCCAAATGTACGTTTTTGCTTTTCTAAACATTTGAATAACCTCCTTAAATTTTGTTTGCACATAATGCTCAAAAAGATGCTTTTCAATGTAGATATATATCAAGAGGGTGATATACTACTTTATATGAACCCTACATAACATTTTATGCTTTGATTATCATTTAAAATTATTATAACGGCTTTCAAAGCATAAAGTGTTATCACTTATTTTTGTATACATTTCTTATGAAATATCAGTATTGACTGAATCTTTTTTTTTATTTAGTTTATAGAAAAATTCTCACACTATGGTTTATTGATCGATAGTTAATGGAAATAAATTATTTATATTTAGTTGTCTAATAATAAGCTATTAATGTGAGAAAAATACATTTCGACCTAAAAACTAATCTAGTTCATTCATTTTTATGTATCGAGAGAATTAAATCCAAAATTGCAAAAGAAGATAACTTCCAGATTCAATTAAAGTTTGGATTTTAGTTATGCTTATTAACTGTTTGAATGTTAAACATCAAGTTTGCATCAATATTATTGTGTGGAATAGTAATATTTATCTGATTTTTCTAAATTTTTGCATACAATAAATACATTTTTTAACATGAAACTTGTATGAATTTTCCTTTAGATATGTATTATTGTATAATAAAAAATTTTTTTATTTTTATATATTTTCTGTCTTTACTTAGTGCATATTACAATTCACGATCACAACGCTTGAATACGCCCTCTAGCAGGTAAATACGAAGCAAAATACAGAAGAACTTTAAAAAACAACCTAGAACATTTGTAAATCATTCCGAAACAGAACACATCCAACATTTGAAGAACAATTTCTAAATTTTTTCCTTTCCATTATCAAGAACAAATATCTAAATAGTTTGCACAAAGATAGATAACAAAGTTTCTGGTATCTAAATACAACAAACTTTGCCAGGCATGAATGAGAAGAAACAAAAGTAGATTTATGTCATTCATGCCTGGCGAAGTTTGTCGTGTTTAGATATTACAACATACATACATTATTAGATATTTGTTGTATTACAAACTTTGTCAGGCATGAATGAGAAGAAACAAAAGTAGACTTTTGTTTCATATCATTCACATCTAGCAAGTCTTGGAATTATTTTATATTTTTGTACTAATGCATATAGACTGCAATAGAATGACTAAATCCTTCTGATATAAAATAATAATATAAGTGAATATTTATAAGCACTTTTTTCAAAATTAAGATTCAAATTTTAGGCAAACTACCTGCAAAATAATTTTAAAAAAATCAAGGCTGAACTAAAATTTTATTTTCTGTATATGAGTGCTCATACAATAAACAAGTACAACTGGGCATACAAATGTTTGTTTTTTTATTTTCTGTTTGCCTTCAGAAAATAATTAACACAGATGTGTCGTAAACTTTCTTCATATAACGGTTTTTGGAGCCACTTAAAAAATAGTGTAAAATCCGTTACTAAGTTGGCTTAGCTTTATGTTCATAAAATCTTTGATTTTAATATTAATTCATTTTAATCAGTTTAGATAGCAGTAAAATGTTTCCCCTGAATCAGATTTCAAATTAATCTGAATTGTGGAAAAAAATCTCAAAGTTGAAGGAACGCTAAAAATTTCGAGATAACAAATTCAGAGCGAAATATGTTTGAAAGAGTAGAAAAATATATTCCAAAATAGTACTCTAAAAAGTGGAGTCAGGAAACATAAGAAATAACTACTAATAATTCTGTATGTAAATAATAGTTGATGGTAAGTCTAAATACAGCAATAATTTTTAAAAGTAAGAGAAAAATTGTACATTAAAGAGAAAAGTATTGGTTTACAATGAACTTGCATTGTTGTTTTTTCACCCAAAAATTCATTTTCTATAACAAAAAAATATTCGACATAACGAGGTATTGAGAAGAAACTCTTCGACACAGGAATTCAAATTAACATGAACTAGTTATGTAATGCCAAGAGGAAAAATATTTTTTCGCACATATTAAGGTTTTTGAGATATAGTAGCTCGAGATATTTAAAGTATACTGTATATATATATTCCAATTAAGTTGCATCAGCATTTTTCATTTGTCCTGTAGCAAAAAAATTAAACAAAATTACTATTAATAACTTTTATTTTTTTAACATAAAAAATGCATTGATATTCAAAACATCAAACCACAATTATAAACATGTAATGATACATAATAATCCCTAAATAAGTTAAATCTCTTCAATAGTGACTAACAGCCTATTCAGAATCTAGTTCAGATTCTAAAAATAATGACTCTCACTGAATGAAAACTATATATCATCAAGCTAATTAGCAAAAGTCTTTAAAGAAGTATTGTCCTCTACAGTAAAGGAAAAACTTCCTAAAAATTAGCAATGTGGTTTTTAGGACTAAAGTCATTAATATGGTTGGTATATTTTAATAAATATAATGTATAATAAATATATGATTCTACATTAAGAAAAAAATGGAGTTTCCTTGCTAATTAGCATGACAATACACAAGTAACTCTTAGACTCAATTTTCCCCAAGATTATAAAAATTTAAAACATCGTGCAACAATTTTCAAGAAACTATATAGTTCAACAGTCACATATAAAAATCAAAGATCTTGGTATCTTCCCCCAAAAATATATAATACAAATAAAAAATTAATTAGGTAATTAACGAAATCAAATAACTTTTGAAGCTTGCAAAATTTAGCGAGGTAAATTTTAATAATTTATACAGGGTTTCCACATTACTTCAGAAATGAAATCCCCTGTCTGTCCATGTGTTAGTTATGCAATACAATTTTTCGAGGAAAAAAAATATATTTATATGTGAAACATTGGATTTTATGAGAAACAAAGTAAAAAAAAATGGAATAAAAACTACAGTGCAGCAATATGGAATAATTGTAATTGATCTTAATGACTGTTTACTGCTGTTGCCACTATGTCTAAAATTTAGTCATTATTTTAGTGAGGGGGAAAAGGCATTTTATTGCTTCTGAGAAGAAATCAAATTCTTAAAGGAATTCCAGGTTTTAATCGACCAATGAGAACCCTGGTTACAGCAATATCTGAAATTATTAAAATATAACAAACATTTACACAGTTGAAATTTGGGATTTATTTATTATTGTCTTTTAAAAAATAGATAATTGTAGCAAACCAAGCACTGATAAAGGTGAAAAGAAATTTTACCTTTGGAGAAAATCGTGGTTTCACAATTTTTACCCCCAATACAATTACCTTAGTGATTATTTTATAGTACATAACAGAGACATGAAAATCATAAAACAAAGGCTTCGTTATTTACAACTTATTTTAGTACAGATATAAAATATCTCCTTGTTGAAGAGTTTTGAATTATGAGTTATTCACAGTGTTTCACGCAAGCTCTCTCCTTGCAATAGAGAAAAAGTTGAAAGTTCATCTAATGTCATAGTTTCTAATTCATCATCTATTATTATCTGTTTGTGTAGATGAAACTATGGGAGAAGCAGAGGGTTGGATTATTTTCTTAATAGTAACACCACTTAAGTTAGTTTGTTTAGTTTGATATTTTTTCTGAAGATTTAATATAAGTTCTTTCAATTCTTGACGTTTCTTGGATATTTTTGTATCAGTAAACCAGCTTGTTACATCCATAGGATTACCAAAATGTGTTATGGGATTCTAAAAGAAAGAAAAAAAATTTTTTTGATTAATTATGCAAAAAAAAAATTTCAATAAAAACAGACATTGAAATCCTTTTAGATAGTTACAACATACACTTCAATTAGTTTAAAAATAGAGAGGTCTAACAAATAAAAATTTTAGAATACTGAAAAATGAATACATAACATAATAATAATGTAATATGTACCCAAGCAAACAATTAATGAACAGAGTAAAGAGTCTATCTCAATAGGGATTTTTTTTTCGATTTCTAGGTATTTTCGGAAATTCATTTGTTTTGTTTTGTTTTTTTTAAAAAAACAGAAAGTTTTGATTAAGCCAGTAGATTCTGAGAAACTGGCAAAATATAGTAGAGTTGGCAGCTATGTTAGTACCTTAAGTTTTAGATAGCTACAGCTGCTATTTTTCTTAATAAATATTAGAAGTGGTTCACTACAAATAATAATTTCTACAAGATCAAAGAAAGTGCCATAATATTAGTGAATCTCAAAAATAATGGATTGGGTCACTAAGACTGAGGATTATTTTCTTTTTACATAGAATGACAAAAGGTATAAAATATTTAATACATCAGAAGCAAGATAATTAAAATATAAGTACCTCAAAAAAGCTCTCAACATATTGCAGAACATATAAACCACAATCACTAAAATTAGTTTGTTGAGGGCATTTTACTATAAAACCTTGCATTGTACTCTTATCAAATACTTTCCTGGTTCCTTTTCTCATTTTCCACTCCATTTCCAAGTATCTAAAAATGTAAAATTCATAGCATTCAAAAGCAGGTTTAAAAAATAGCATTATTATGAGTAGGACTGGATAATGTTAAGATTCTGTCATTGCAAAGTATTGTCCCTCTAACATCGCAATGTCTTATTTCACATTTGGTATTGTGTAATTTTGAATTATTGCACTTTTTAACTAATGATTAAGGCAATTATATTCTGGTAATAAACTCAATCCTAAGTTACCTATCAAAAGAAGTGTCAGAAATGTTATAAATTTGTCTAGTTACAGGGTATCTGCTACATTTTAGATTTTCAAATTCATGATTTTCCATGACTAATTCCAAGAATTTTTCATGACTTAACGAAGTGAACTATTTTCTCCAACAAAAACGCAACAATAAATGTAAAAAAGCATTATAATAACATTATTCGAAATGCTAAGTATAACCAAAACTGTTATACTCTGCATCTTCATGTTTATAGATTTTAAATTTAAAAAACAGAGTAAAGAAAGAGTTGAAACAATAAAATGGCTGAAAAAAGCAAAAGCAAATAATTTTTTTTCTGCAGAATTATATTCTAAAGATACTTTTCTTGTTCATCAGAAAGGAAAGAAATACTCCTGATTATTCTGTTCTCATTTCAGAATATAAAAAATTCGCCAATTACTGGTTTGCTCCAACTAGAGTTTTAAATTGATAAAATTAAAAAAAAAAATAATAAAAATTCTTAAATCACAGAAGAGAGAGTTTAAAAGATAATTCACTCTAGAAATGATGTTTTTGTTTATTTTTTGAAAGAACACCATCATTTTTAAAGAACATGAAAAAATCATTTTATATTCGAATAAAATATGACTGAGTGGTGATTTTGTTATAAATTCAGATATTTGGAACAGGATGAAATTGGGGAGGGGGATTCCATTTTAAAAATTAGATTTTTCGGAGACCTAAATCCATGACTTACCATGATTTTCTTTAAAAAACAGTAAAAATCATGACAAATTTTGTTCAATACTAAAATTTATGACTTTCCAGGGCGCGGATACCCTGCAGTTACAAACAATAAATTATATTTTCAAAAAAAATATATAAACCACAGGGATATAATGATAACACAATTTATAGAATTTTTTAAGACCTCAATATTATCAAAAGTATTAACATTAAAAGAATAAACTGGGTGGCTCATCACTAGCCTAGATGGGGGGAAAAATTCAATGAAAGAAAATTTTGGTGGCGACGCTTTTTGGTAGTTGAAAAAGAGGAGGGTCAAAACAATGATGGCTCGATTATGTGGAATCAGATTTTAAAGTTTTTAAGCAGATCCAGGACATCCTAGGTTTTCCTGAAAAAATCTTCAATGGAAGTATGGATCACTATGGTCTATTTTGCCAAATATTATGAATGTTCATAAATTACTATAAGAAGTTTTTTTTTGTTTTCGTTTAATGCATAAAAATACAAGTTTTCTGATACATAGAACAGTTTTTTTTTTTGCTTCAGTTATCATTAATATGACTGTACGCACTTCATAGGAAAAAACAGGGCTCGAAAAAACTCAGAAATTTTACCCGTCCCTGAGGACGGCTTGTCCAACAATGTACCCGTCCTCCTTTGAAACTAACCCGTAACTTCTAAACAAATAAAAAATATAATTTTCTCTTATTTATTACAAACATTTATATAAATTGCGCAATGAATTAGTAGTTACTAAGATTACAAACACTAGGATTGCATAATACAGTAATAAAAGAAATACTAGGTTACTAATAGTAACCTAGTATTTCTTTTATGAAATAATTTAAATGACAAAGGTCAAGTTATCTGGAATGTCAATTTATCCAAGGGTACTGAGTTTTTTAAATGAATCAAATATGACGTTCGCCACTTCCCCAATCAAGCCAATGATTTACAGAGGTTTCTGCACAGAAATCTGAAAGGGGTTTTCCATTTATGTTGATGTTCATAATTAACGGGATTTCTAGATTTGAGGGTCATTTTAGAAGTGAGGCGCTAGACTTTTGCAAGATAACAAAAATTGAAAATGTATCACGAACATTAACGGGGAAATGGCCGTCCGGCCGGACGTCGGATTCGAAAAATTCGTTGTTCGTGGGGAATTTTTGACCGCCGAGGACGGACGGTTTTTCGAGCCCTGGAAAAAAATAAGTAGTTAAAGATAGCTAAAGTTTGAGCTCAAAAACAAATTATCAAGTAATCCATAATAAAAATTAGTATAGTAAAAAAATTGCTTACTCTCTTAAAGTTGAAGCGATCCTCCACCTATTTGGTCCGCTTAATGAATCAAAAATTAAAATGCAAGGTCTGAAAAATAAGTAAATAATTTATAAGATATTCTTCATTTCATTTTCTATATTCAATCATAAGCATGTCAAGGATTAATAAAATTTCTTATTTATATCAAAAAAAATTCTTTTTTTCTTTTAACCTTTGATCTGAGCAACCTGTAATCTTTCATCTTATTCCCTTAAACCATTACTTAAACAGTTTTCCATATACTTTTTTTTTTAACTGGTATTTTTAATTCTGAAATAAAATAAACAAGAAAGATAATAGCAATATTATGATAATGTAAAGATATTAGCTCCTGAACGGAAAAAAAAATTTAGTTATCAATATAACTTTCCTTTAAAACAATTAAGTAAAAAGTGAATAAAAGAAAAACTTGGAAGATCAGCACATACTAAAGGAATAATTTTTCAACAAAATTAAATTTTGTAAAATTCAATAATTGTAGTTTTGTGGGCAACACAGCAGCCACTTTTAATTTACAAATTTAACAGATAATAATTTCCAAACTAAGTTCTAAAACAGCGCAGCAGTCAAAGTAAATTTTACAAAACAACTAATAACTTTCAAACTAATTATCAAATGATCATTTTGTTAAGTACATATCTTAATTAAGTATACATCTAAGCAAATAAATATCTTAAAATTTACATTGGTAGGCAATATTTTTAGCTAACTGCAATCTGGATACATTTTCAAGTTTTAAAAAATAACTAGAATTTAAATTGATAACTTCAATAATAGCATTCAATAAACTGCATAGTAGAATTTTAATTGTTAAAACAGTTTTGTATTTTTATTAAACACACAAAACATTGTTTTATAACCTCAATAAAATATGGGTTGCATAGCATTAAAAATTGCACCCTGAAGAAGAAGCAATATTTAATATATTATTCAACAATATAATTATCATAAAGATACATAGTTAGTAAAATTATTGAGTCAAATTTATGCGTATTATTTATATAAAATGACAACACACTTATAATTAAATGTGAATTGATCAAGAGACAAAAAGCTTATTATAAATTATATTTCTGTTCCAATTGAAACATCTTTATAAAGTGTGTAAATTTAATTTATTTTAAAAAAGCGTATTTATTTTAATTTTTTTCAGTGGATCATTTAAAAGCGGAAATAACTGCTTCAAGCTTCAAATTGAGATCAGAAAACTAAAACAATGTATAATTAGGTAAGACACTCTAGAGACTACTCAAGAATTTTGGGAAAATTGTGTTTACACTGATTTCTCCTGTTGTATTAAAATATAAGTATACGGTTATGTAATAAATCCTTTAAAAAATATTTATGGGGAAACTAGGAAAACATAATTGAGGATACTTATTTAATAGGAAGTACATGCAGGGCTGCCACTGGATGAAAACAAGAAAAATAGTTGCTTTAGTAGCATCATATATGAAAAAAAGTCTCTTAAATAGTCTCCAAGATATATAAAATAGTTGCTAACATCATATCCTCCTCTAACATAATTTTAATTATTTGTGCTGTAGTAGTATAAAATTCAAATAACATGCAGTTAGATACTCATATTTTATAAAAAATGCACATTTATTTGTGGATTTGCCAACAATATATTCTTTCACACTACGCATAAAAACAGGGAGTTTTATTTTCATCTGTTACAGAACAGTTGAATTTGAAACTTGAATTTCCTTTCTCGGTTCTAATTTGCAGCTGCTTAGTTTAGACATTAAAAATAATAATAATAATAAATATTGCAATTTAATTCCGTTTTATTTTGTTTATTTTTCATAACTGACATATTTCCAAATTTTAATGCTTATCAAAAAAATTACGATCACAATTCGACAAAACGAATATCACCATGTACCTTTTTTTCTTTTCTAAATAGCTCTAAAAAAATTAACAACACATTTTGTGTAATTAAAGACAATTTTTCTAATTTTGCTACTTAGTTCAAATTAAAAGAGGGGGGGAAACTTAATCCTCAGAGATATTACATTAGCTTTCTGAAGCAGGAGGAGCATTCACATAGTGCGAATTCCAATTCCATCAGTCTGATAGGTTAAATATGCTTGTCATGCTTTTGCAAGGTTCATGCTCTACTTTAGAAATAAAATTCAAGTACTTTCCAAGGACTTTTTAAGACTTATTATAAAATTCTCAAGGACTTAATTTTAGTAAAAGATAGACTAAAATTTTACATTTTAATCTAAAATGTTTTGACAATAATAGTTAGTTGACGATAAGTGTTAGACGATAATAGCAGTACTGAAAAATAAGACTTCCATTGCTCTCTTGATTTCGGAAAGTGATCTAAGTATAAAAAAAGCAAGGGTGATTGGCATCAAGTCAAGAATAAAATTCATGATTCATAAAAACGTCAGATTTGAATTTAGCACAAGGCCTATTTTAAGCTAGGTATACAACCTCTGAATAAGCAAAAATTCGGACAGGATGGGGGGGGGGATGTTCTATATAATACTGTGATATCAATTAGATATTTAAAAACAACTCTGCCGGGAGATTTTTATTTAATATTTAAAGTGGCAGAAGCATTTAGACAGTGAAATTTAAATTGTTCTTAAATATAATTTTGAAATTTTGGCCACCTTTCTATTAAAGAAAATTAATCAATTATTGGATGTTGCGGCTTAATTATAATTTTAAATTTATTTCGGGTCAACCATTTTAAATTGAATCAGTTGCCAACTTTCACCTCAATATCTTCTGATAGATTCTTACTAACAATTTTGGTCACTTTGACTGCTTTAATTAACCACTCATACTTGAATTAATTTTTTTTCAGTAGTATCGATCATACGCACTTAACATGGTTACATGAACACGAATCGTAAAGAGTAGTTTTCAAATAGAGTATAAATACGAAAATCGATGTTTGATATTACAACATCGATGTTTGATATTGCAACGTCGATGTTTGATATTGCAAAATGCGTGAATACGAATAGCGACATTGGATTTTAAACTTGCGGAAAAACTAATCGCGATATTGGGGTTTAAAAATGCTTAAGTACAAACCGCGATATTAGATTATTAAATTGCTTTAATGGGAATTGCAAGTACAATTTTTGAATCACGCGAAAACGAATCGCAACACATAGCTTTTAAATCAGTTTAATACGAAGATCGATGATTGANATATCACATGTACCTTTTTTTCTATTCTAAATAGCTCTAAAAAAAATTAACAACACATTTTGTGTAATTAAAGACAATTTTTCTAATTTTGCTACTTAGTTCAAATTAAAAGAGGGGGGAAAACTTAATCCTCAGAGATATTACATTAGCTTTCTGAAGCAGGAAGAGCAAATTCCAATTCCATCAGTCTGATAGGTTAAATATGTTTGTCATGCTTTTGACATCAAACAGTGAGAAATAATAAAGTTAGGATAAAACGAAAGGGCGGCAAAAAAAAGTGGTGGAAGGGGGAAACTCCTGAAGCTATTCTTTATTTTAGTCACTTTGGCTTAAAAAAGTTGCCGATTTTACGCAAATCATTGCAAATTATTTGTTTTTACTCATATTTCTACTAAAAAAGTCGCCATAGTTGCTATTGCTTTAAAATAGTCGTTTTAGTCACCTTTTTAGTCTCCAATGGCAGCCCTGTACATGTAAAAATGCGAATACCCAGAACATTTTGTTTAATGTTTTAAGAGGGGGTAAATTAAAATTTCACACTAACGTTTCTTTTCTTCGACCACCTTCATAATATGTAACATTATTATTAGGACTCCTTTCGGGAAGCTCTGATGAATCATCTTCATCTGAATCAGGAGGCTCCTCCACCTCATATGAAGAATCATTATTTACAATATCAGCTTGGGTTTGGGAATCTATAAAATAAATAATTGACAACTCTTAAAGCAATAAAAAAAATACAAAGCAAATAGTATAAAACATAGTCTTTTTTTTAACTATACCTGTTATACTTTGTACAAGTCATGAAAACAAATTACACAGATATTAGTTTGGCAAGGTTTTGGTCACAACAGGTAAAAAACCATGTTTTTTACAGTCTTGTTAAAAACATAGACTTATCCATTCTAAGTTCTTGATACTTAGTTGTAGACAAAAAATATCAAGTGTGATTCAAATTTCATTTGTAGAAATATGAACAGATAAATAATCGGAATTTTAAAAAATCCATAGCACTCATAGTTAAAAATTGAAAAAACTATGCCGGAAATTGAAGAAGAAAAAAAAAGAAGGGTTGAAATTGTTGCATTAGAAGTAAATAAACAAGTAATTTGAGTTTTGCAATTGTGATGTAAGTCATTGGAGTTTCTTTTCAATTGTATAAAAAAAAATTGTGATTTTTTTTAAAAATGGAAAATTACTAGCTATGACATGCATGGATTACCGATGATATTGGTGCTAACTGAATAGATTTAGAAAAAAACGAGTAAAAAGTTGTAGCAATAATTACTGAAAAAAATAATCAAAACACTTCATATATTTACGATGTAATAAGCACTAGTTGTGAGTGATTTAGTGAAGACTCAAAATTGTGATTGAAAATTTTCAAATGTGTAAACAACAAAAATATTGGATCAATTTTATTTCAACCAAATCAAGGAAAATAAAGAAACAAAGGAAAGAAAAATATACCACATGGATTATTTTCGACAAATCTGAATTTGTTACAAAATCTCCACCAACAGTAAAATTTTATTAAAATGTACGATACTGAATGCCTTATGAAAATAAAAAACAAAGAAAGAACGTGATTTTGAGAGCAAACTAAGCTATAAACTTATGCGATTTCAGATTATTATTTTTTTAATATTGTCTAATTGAGATTCTAGTTGAAGCCAGTAATTATCCAATTTTTTTTAATTCTCAAATAGGAATAGAAAAATCAGGAGCATTTCTCTCCCCCTTGATATGCGAGAAAAGCATTTTTTGAAACTAGTTCTGCAGAGTAAAAAATATCTTTTGAAAATTTCGGCAGAAAGGAAAACCAAAATGTTTTATTTTTCATTATTAACAAATGAAAATATAAAAATCGCATTTCTTTCCTGTCCTATGCGCAAGAAAGACATTGTTTGAATGTAATTCTGGATGGGGAAAAAAATTATTCAAAAATTTCTGGATAAAAGAACAATTTTTTTACTCCATTATTCTTAATTTTTCATTATTCTCAAATTAGAAGAGAAAAATCACAAGCATTTCTTTCCGATCACGTATTTCGAATATAATTCTGAGGAGAAGAAGAAAAAAAATCTTTCAAAAATTTCTCCAGAAAAGAAATTTAAAATTTCTTACTTCCAAAGGAAAAATCTTTCTGCAAAAACTATCATTTTGCGACAATGTCGCCGTGATTCTGGCACAGTATTATTAATACTATCTAGAGTTTAACTTGGGCTTCAACATTTTGCTAAAATATTAATTGAAATCAGAAGTAAAACACATGCATCATAATCTTATTTCTCTTTAAGCTGTGCAATTTTATTTCTCCTCCCCTCCAGTTAAACATGAATTGGCAAGCAGACACAGAAGCTAGCGTACTAAAAAGAATTCTGCCCCCTGCTCGAACGCCATTCAAAACGAATGAATTAAAAAACATGTGCAGTTGCAATACTTGACCACAAGTCATTATTCCATTTACTTAGCTGACACTATGTTCAAATGGGGAATAGCAAAATTGATAGATGATCTTAAAATTTTTTTAAAAAAAAAAGTAGGAAATGACAGCAAAGAAAGGAGGGGTGCCGAAATATAAGGAAAAGTAGGAGGTCAGTGGTCCCTGCACTAGAGATACGTATTGATCCTTTTGAGGTGTGGTGTTCTTACCACGACCACTTGGACGCTTTTGCATTGCATTTGCAGATTCAGCGGCCTTTTCAATCGGGAGATGACACTTTTTGACACTCACATTATTGTGGCCACAGTGGTGACTCTTTAAGCTGCTTCCAGTTATCTAACAGCTCGTCCCAATCGTAAGCACTTAAATGATGCCTTACTGATATTTTGCACTTAATTATTGCAACACCATCTCAAATCTCACAGAAATAAAAACAACAACCTAAGGGGCTATATTGGTTAAACACCTAACAGCATGAGTTTTCGAATGAATGAAGAGATTGTATTCACTGCCATTTATACAGATAAAGGGCCCTGCTTTACCACACCCCCTTAATTTGATTTTACGGTTATTGGTGGGCCGTCAGGAACACTACTTTTGATAAATCAGTTGTTCCTTAGCAATTGTCAAGCAGTGCAGTTTTAGTCTTCACATTTAGAAAGTAGTAATGTAGTTTTTTCTGACCTCTGATCTGGAAATACAATAAATAAGCACAAAACTGAAATGATACATTTGAAAATTTGCTTGAAATTTATAATATACCTTCCGTAATACTAGTTTCTTCTTTAATTATTACTTTATTCGTTACATGGTCATTCGACGAAGTAACTATATCGGTTGCTTTGGCAGTTTTAGGCTCTGCTTTTTCCACTGGTGGATCTGGAATATGACCAGGATAACAAATAAAAGCTAAAAACCAATGATTATGTTGGTTCACAGGTATGACAATATAATCTTTAGAAAAGATGTCCACATGTTTTGTCCATGTCTTCACTTGATTATGCCTTCTTACTTGCATGCTAAAAATAAGTGAATAAATAAGAACTGGATAAATAAAATATTGATAAGTTTATAACTGTATATCTATAAAACGATTTAAATTACCTAAATAATGAACATTTTTAAAGAACCTTAGATGCAAATCATATTAAATTTCTTAACCAGATGCAACAAAAAGATATATAAAATCTAAATTTTATATTAAATTATATAATGACCAATAAATAATAAGGTTAAATTCATTTACCAAAAAAATAGCCAAGTTATTTCAAGAGTAAATACTAAGAAAAAGTCTGGCAAACTTATTATCAAATTCATAAGGGCATTAAATTAAACAATTGTTTACTCTCTGCGTCAATAAAGATTAAGAATTAACTTTAGCTTTAACAGCTAACTTTAAGGAGGTGGGATGAACGATTATAGGGGAAGTGAAAGAGCAAATAGTTTTCAATAAACAGTTATGAGAAATCTGTTGCAATTACGAGTAATAAGACATCTAGAAAGGTAAAAATTTTTTATTTTCCCGTTCAAATGTAAATTCAATACAAGTATCTATAGAATACATAATATTGAGAGCATAATCGATGCTTACATTGTCTATAAATGTGAAACAATTATTGAAATGTTGGTCAATAAAAGAAGAACTTTGATATTCACTTCAAAGTAATGCACATACTCAAGGAGCTGAGAGGATTATAGCTAAGCCATCAATCATTCCATAAAATTTACTATTAAAAGTGAAGGTGAACTGCTCTTATATTTTAAGTAATATATTTTAAAAATATATATTACAATATTCAATTTTATTTTTTAAAAAAAGCCATAATTTTTGGTTATAGATAACATAACACTTGATTTTTTTTTTCTTCTTACAAACATGTTAAATATAAGTAAAAAGAGATTTTGATAATTTGGAGAAGAGTGATGAGAATGAAGTACCAGCAGTTGATTTGTTTGAAATTATAAAAATTGCACTTCATTATTAACTTTAAGTTCTTTGATGCATAAGACAGCAAGGTAAAACTTGCAGCCAAGTTTTCATCTTTAATAGTTCTTGCCTTTCCAACATGAAAAATTATTTTAATTGAACATTAGAAAATAAATATCTTATCTTTCTAACAGCTTAATGCTTTTTAAGTAATACTACTCAAGCTTACAGCAACACCCTACAATCCTCATTTAACTTATAACAGTGTTAAGCTTCCCTCTTCAACAATTGCTGTGTGCTTATTATTATTTTCACTTTAATTAATAGTGTTAAAAGGAGCTAGGAAGTAAAGGGGACGTTCTTGAAAAGTCCGTCAGCAATTGGAATAGACTTTTCACAAAAACTGTCACTAATATTGTCAATTTAATAAAGGGTAGAAATGTATTGAAATTTTCGCCTTTTCTCAGATAAGAAATGCAAACATTGGGTATGCATATCAAGAAAAAACTGGAAATCTGATTTCTAAATACTTTTCCTTTTTTGGCAGATATACACCTCATCTTAAGGCCTGAAACTACAAGGCAAGAAACAAAATATTTTCCACCTCTATCAAAATATTAAAAACTAAAAATATTTGGGAAAAAAAAAAGAACTTTTATAGCAAATTACTTGAAAGCAATTACAGCACACTTCCCCTCTAGGAAGCAAAAACAGTTGAAAGAAGAAGAAAAAACATCTCACATTTTAGCACGTTTAATAAAATATTAAATATTGAAAAAGAATTTTGACAGATTCAAAGATTTTTAATGCCTTGCAGTCTACAGATGGAAATTTGCGATCTCCAGGTAAACGGTAAATAAACTTTAAAACTAAAAAGTGTGATATGCCTAAAATTTTCCGGTAGAACCTTTACCTAAACAGCTTGAACTCTTTCTGGTAGTAGATATGCTTACAAAATTGCCTTTGTTGCTTTCCGACAAATAAAACCAAAAATAAAAAAACCAATTGGAAGTACTTCACTGGAATCGAACCTGACACTTTTAACTGAATTCACTGGGATTGACTTTACTTTATCAGGAAAGCAGTGCATCATACTGACTTTACAAATGTAAAATTAAATGGTATACTAAACTTTTCCCTCACTTCATAGCATTTCTCTGCCCACAATTTCTTGCCTTGAGAAACTAAACTTGAGTAACTAAAAGTTGAACGACACTGACTAGATGTGAGAAAAATAATGTAGCATATGTTTACAAATAAAAACTTAGTAAATTACTTCTTACAAATTTGTAACATAAAACAAAATTACAATAAAGAAATAAATCCAGATAATACAATTTTTGATAAAGAAAAAGTTGAAAAAATAAACAATTCAAAGTACATACGTTTTCGGTCCATCATCTCCTGCTCTTATCCTATCAGGTTTTTGTGTCAATCGTGGATAAAAGAATGAACTAAATATGTGAGTTTTTTCTCTATCACGAGGTGACAGTTTTTCATAAAATACATATCTGGAAAAAAAATTCTTATTAATATCAAATAAAAATATCTTTGATGTAATTCATATAATTTATTGAGTTTACAAAATTGAAATATACTAATTTAAACAACTTATAAACTAGTTTGTTTATGAAAAAAATGTACCTTTAAAAAATATAATTGATACATTGAAAAGATTATTAACCAATAACAAGAATATACTACATACTATTACAAAAAAATGTATTCAATGATAATACAATTTCTGGAATCATAATTTTTTATTTATTTACTCTAATTTATTTATTTACTATATTTATTATCATTTTAAAATTCTGAAAAAAAATAGGCTTTTAAAATAAACTTAGGTTTTGTAACGGTTCAAAATAAAAAATAAAAATCAGCACATTTATGTTATGGTTTGTAATCAGGGCATTTTAAATATTTAGATGCTAGATTATTTTGATGAAGGAGAAACGGACAGCTAAAAAAAATAGCGTAATCCACACCTAATTTTTATTTTGAGCAACAACTGTGGATTTCTTTGAACTTTAAAAAAAAAAACACTTATTCAAAAACAATTAATATTTGTTAGTGCGTCGAAAATTAGAAATTTACCTACGAATTTAATGACTATTTTCACAACTTATAAAAATAATTATGATCACCAAAAGGATTCACTACAATCTGAAAGTAGAGAGCAATAAAATGTTACTTTATATTTCAGAAAATGGAGAAAAAAAGTAATAAGTAAAAACTAGGGATTTCTATTTTAAACAAAAGTTTTGCAAAATTAAGAACATTGAGGAAAAAAAAAACATTTTTTTTATAGAATGAAAATTCATCACTAAGATGAAAGGCTGCACTCCTGTCCCTTCGCTAAGATCAGTGATTAACTTTCAATTTGTCACTGTTACAATGACATAATGAAATGCTTATAAAGAAACAAAAGCAACACACAATGTTGTGTCTATCAATCAACTTATCCATAGATCCATAGACCAATTTATGGCCTGGTAATTGGAGACTACTTGTCTAAACAATTAATCCTTACTGATTTTAGATTAATTACAATCATTTATATACAAGATATTAAACGATTTTCATTTACATACAAGAGTTATACATTACATTACAATAATTGAGCAGTGAATTCACTTTAATAACAGAGTTTTACTCATGTTACTATTTTAGTAGTAATATTTATTAAGGAGCAAGTAATGAAATTTTTTCCTGTGACATAGTGTTTTCCGACATTACTTTATACATAATTTGGAAACTGCTACAGTACCTGCAAGTTTTTTTACCATGAACACCAGAAAGCAATACTGTTTTTGAAAGTTAACAGACGAATGCTTTTAAAAGATGTTAATTGAATTACAAATTTTATGAAAGAATGATACATTTTTAAAGAAAACTGTACAAATATTTGTAGAGATTAAAAATTTCAAACAATGACTACCCAGAGTAATATCTTAAAAAAATTATTAAAATTGCTCACACTTATATATTTTTTCAAAAAATATTTTCATTTTTTTTTGTTTTGCTAAAAAGAAATGTATAATAAACTATATATTCAGTATACCTTACTTTTCTAAATTTTTAGAACAAAGTTTGACATTTTCAGCTTTAGCAGTGAATGTCACTTCTTTTTTACTTAATGATCATGAATGTTTTGTGTTGAATATTCATGCATCTCTTATGTTGTATTTTGTTCTTTATTTTATGAATTGCTAAAAATAGCGAATTGGGCAAGCTTGAGATGGGAATTTAGAATTGAGGACACTAGTTCAACATGAGGCCTAGCAGCATAGACATTCTCTCTTTTATCTGATCTCCTCTAAAGCTCATTTATAAATATTAAGTGCTAATCTAGATTGATAAGAATTTAAAAATTGATTTATTATTCATACAAATTCTCAAGTTGTCCCAAAAATTAAAATTGTGTTAAAATTAAAGGTTATATGATGGTTTTCTTATGTACTTTAACATGCACACAAAAAATCCATAGTAAGAACCAAATTGTGCAGCAAATTTTATCTTTATTTTATAAAAATGAGATACAATTTCAAAGCAAGTTATAAAAACCTAATTTAAAAAATAATTAAGGGTAAAAATATATACTAACTTTAAATAAAAATCTAAAATTGCATCATTTAAAAATTCTCCTTCTTCTAGAGTAGCCAAATCAGCAGTATTTATTGCTATGCCACCAGTTTGAGGTGGTGGTGGATATGTTAGAATTCTAAAATATAAATAAAAATAAGTAAGATACATAATTTATTTGAACCAGAAATTAAAAATAAATAAAAAAAATCTCAAATATATTTACTTCACAACAGGTGCTGGAGGTCCTGGTTTGACAGTCACTTTAGTAATTGACAATGCCTGCACAGATTAAGAGAAAAATTGATAATTAAAAATTGAAGCAATAAAAAACCAAATATATGTTTGGCAATTAAGTTATCTTGAAAATTTAAACTAATAATTTTTAACTCAGCAATATTAATAAAATCTATATTTATTAGATTAACAAAACAATTCTTAGTATTAGTCAATTGTAACAACCAAACATCATCACAATCAGGGATATCAGATTTTAGCCAAGCCAAGTCAGTTTTTTGTTCTTTTTTTGTTTAAACCACTTAAAAAAAAATCCAGCTGAAATTAAAAACTCCTGCTTTTATTAGAACCAATTTTTTTCAAAAACAGTAATAATATAAAAGAAATATAAAATTCTTAATTTATAACAACATTGATGTAATTGTATGTTAGGAACCAGGGATCTGTCCAGGCCGAATTTACTACCATTTAGCGGTACCTTCACAAATTCAACTTTAGGAAAAACGATAGTTTCACAAATTCAACTTTAGAAAAAACAGTTGCTTCAGAAAATACTTTTTCTTAAAATTTTATTTTTGCATACCTTAAGAAATGATAAATCCATATTTTTGTGTTGATTTTTAAATATAATATTTAATTTTTCACAAATTACGTCTGAATTTTTACAATATAGGTACCTCTCAGAAAAACCTAGACCAACCCCTGGGAACAATTTGGAACAGCAATTTTCAATTTTCGAAATAGTTTGAAGCAACAGCTTTAATCTTAGAAGCGTTAAGAGCTTTCATTTTACTCTGCTTAGAATACAACTTATTTAATATAGTATAAATATATAATTAATACAATATCAGCTATCATTACTAATAGTCCAAATTTGTAAACAAAATATAATTATTTCAAACAAATCCTGTAAGAAAATACCTAATTTACAGAAAATTTTAATTAATTTAAAAAAATGATCTTTCTGAATGAATTTAAAGTATAATTATGATGAATTAAAAAATGATTGAAATAGGTTTAGAACAATTTCAGACAAGCAAATACGATTTGGAGTAGCAATTACATTATTGAAATTAATAATATTTTATCTATTTATGGAATAAATGACTTTAAGAGAAAGTAAAATTATTACATAATATCATATGTTACTTTATTATTTTACTGAAAAGTCATCAATAAAAATTTAAACACGTGTACGTTAATTTTGAATAATAAAATATACTAAAAAGCCAAAGACTGGCTTTTTAAGAGAAAGCCGTTTTTTTAATAAAAGACTATCTTTTTGTTTATAAAAACCAGCCAGCCTGGCCTTTTTCAGAATAGCAGGTTTCTTTGCAACCCGGATTAAAATATTTGGTATGAAAAACTGCCCTATCTATAAGTGGCATTTTTCCCTACATTTTGTCAAAATTGGTCGCCATAGTAGTCTTTTCTTCAAAATAGTGGCAATTTTAGTTTCCAATGGCAGTCTTGAAACACAAATCCTTTTTGCTGACCTGTTAGTGTGATTTTCTTGTAAATATATGTGATTTTGTCATGCATCTTTTTTTCAGCAGTTACAGCAATGGATTTAATTTTTTTAAAAATTAATGTGATGACAACTTAAAACAGAAAGTGCTTCTGTTATTATGAATTAGCAATGCGTATATTACTTTTAAAAATATCTGCAGAGATATTAATACTAGGGTGGTTTGTCACAGAAAGCTAGAGAAAATTCTGCCACAGGGTTTATGTTAAATAGAAGGAACATAAGGAAGTTTATAAATGTCCTGAAGCAATATAAAGGTGNGAAAATCAAAATGAAATTCAAGTACTTTTCAAGGCTTTTTCAAGGCCGCGGGAACCCTGAATATAAATTTGTGGATGATTAGACATAATTTTTTAAATATCTAAAACAGCAGAGTTTAAAACTATTTCACTTTAAGAATCAAATACTAGATGTACGATATAAATCTACGATGTACACTGAGTTGTGTCAGTCTAAGCATGCCAAAAAAGTAGCAATATCAGTCCAATGCAAGTATGCTCGAGTTTTGCTTCCTACGTTAAAAGCTTACCGTTCTATGAAACATTGCATAGTCTTAATAAGTTAACAATCAAACAGCTATTTATCACTACTTTGCTTTATCTGTATACTATCAAATAGCCAATCTTAAGTGCCAATTTTGTCTTTTTACATTAGAAAACAAAATATAGAAAGTATTTAAACCTTAACCATGGTACTGTTTTTGTAAGAAAACAAATTAAATAAACTACTGGTTATAAAATTAATGAACTTAAAAAATTTTCCAGCAATTACTTATTATACAGCAGTCACATAATTAAAAGTTTGCCATAATTCAATTTTTAAGTCATGTATTTTTTCCCCCTACTGGGTTTATTCCCATTTAAAAATTTATCAAAAGTGTCATAATACTGAAATGCTGAGCATGCATATGTGAATTAAATATAACAAAGCTAAACACAATTTACTCAACATGCATAAAAGAAATGCAACTATTAATAAACAGCACCGTCCATGATAGTTATCAATGAAAAAAATAATCAATAATAACAATGGAAACAAAAATTATTGAATACAACAAAAAATAAACCTACCTGTGAAGATAAACCCGGGGGAAGTCCAGCAACAGTGATTGCAGCTTGTGAAGATGGTGAAGAAGAAACATGTGAATCTTGCGTGATTTTAACAACATTTGTCTGAAATAGAAAGTATTTTAACTGCTCAGTTTCGTTTTTATATTGTATTTAAGACTAACATATAGTAAAAATTTAAATGATACATAACAAATTTGATTTTGTAAATAAATGCTTGGCCAGTGAAGAAATTGATATAAAGCCTCAATAGAAAGAAAAGGTTATATACAGTAACAATCTTACTGTAAATAGGGATGAGAGTAGTCAGAAAGCAAAAAATATATGTATAATAGGTAGAAACTATAATGCCAATATCCAAAAATTTAACAAGTGCGATTTTTAAACCTTAAAACCATGTGATTACAAATCCCGATGATTAATTTAAAATTGTATGACTATGAATCACATGCACGATTTTAAAATTGTGTGAATAAGTATTGCAATATTTGATTTTAAATCACATGAATATGAAACTCGATATTGGATTTCAAAGATGCAAAAATACAAATAATTTTTAGATCACATAAATACAAATCACGATGCATAATTTTGAAATCGCGTGAATATAAATCCCACAATGTCTAATTTTTAAATCATACATAAATACGAAAATCGAAGTTTCATAGTAAAACCGAATCACGACATTGGAGTTTAAATTTGCTTGAATATGAATCCCTACATAGGATTTTAAAAACATGTAAATACAAATCAAAATATATTGGACTTTTCAACCTCGTAAATAAGAATCGCAATGTACAATATTTAAATCTCGTGAATAAGAATAGCAACACGCAACTTTTAAATCAGGTTAATACGAAAATCGATGTTTGACATTAAAATCGTGTAGATAAGAATCAAGAAGAGTAGTTGTTCTAGTTCATTCAGGTCGCACTAGAGCGGCACAGTGGGTTATTGGCGACAATCTGGGAATTATCCAAGGATAATCCGAAGACATTCCATCACAATTTTGATCCTCCGAAGAGGGGATGGCACCCCCGCTCTGGTAGCCTCACGACCTGCACAATCAGTCGAACACTTTATGGTAGAACAGTTTAACGAGGTCCAATAGCGCACACCCTTGGTGCCTAAGCAGACTGATCCAAGTGGTCACCCACTCGCACACTGACAGCAGCCAGTGATGCTTGACTGCGGCGATCTGCAGGGAGCTGTGTCTTAACGATCAGTCCACTGCGGGACTAATCGAGAAGAGAAGCAGCGATGTCTGAATTACGAAAATATGAGCTATCTGGCGGGCAGGTAAAAGTGCGGAAAATAGCTAAAATAAGAAAAAACGTGGAAGGGTGGCAGCTACGTAGTTTGAATTTTCTGTTTATCTTTGAAAATTTTAAATATAATAATTTTATTTCAACGGCTGAATTTTCAGAAAAAGCGGAATATTTATTTAAAAAAACTTAAACTTTTAGAGAATCATAGTTTTTATTTTTTTTAAATTTTTATAAAAAGGCTGAAATTCGAGAGACAAAAGCAGAAAAATCTCATCCCTGTTTAAAGCACAATCACTAGAAACAAAAATAAAGATTCAATTAATATCAATTAATTACATCAGAAAAGCACTATATGACAAAGAGCTACCCACCTGCTTATATGCTAACAAAATATTTAAACATTATTAATATTACAAGAAATACACATATTTGTTCAAGCATAGAAAATGGCAATGAACTATTATAACTATTTATTTCCCCTATCAATTTTTAAAATAATGCAGCTAATAAATAATGTTACTACATAAAGAAAGACTAACCATAAAAATGAAAGAAAAAAAAGTCATGCATTTGTTCTTACAACATTAGGAGTAGATTTCACTAATATTTCATTAGCTTCTTTTTGATCAATTTCTTGCATTTTGTTTTTGCCAGGAAAAATTTGGCGCATAAAAGTACGTTGATCATCAGTCAAAGAATCGATGAGGAAAGTAAGCTTATTTTTCTTAAAATCTAAGGAGAGAAAAAATGCATAATTAAAAATAGCAGGAATCCAGCATGCACATCCTTATTCAATGCAAGCTTTAAGAAGCTCATAAAAGAAGTTATACTAAAAACAAATAGAATTATTCTATTAACAAGCCTGCATAATTCAAATAGCAGAATCTATATTTGCGCGACACAAAGTCTTTTAATTAAAAAAAATAATTCATGCCAACAAGTTTAAATTCTTCATGCTCGTAATTTGCTTTTCCCTTTACAGCTAATAATTTTTAAAGGAAATTTTAAGCCGGTATTATACCGCTACATTTTGTCACAAAATGAAGACAATAAAAATCTTCAGAAAAAAAAAGAAATATTTTTAATTAAGTAAAACCTTACTTTACAGTTAAGCCTCACACAGCGGACAATTTTCAAAGCCCTTGAAGTGAAAACCAACAGCATCCTGCATCTAAATAAGCCATTTTAAATTTTTTTGAGGTCCATATTTCATTTTCATAAGTCATTTTCTGTTGCTATTATTGAACATAAATTTTCCATAGATTTGATTGATATTTTATTAGGAACAAAATTAGGGAGTACGGAAAGGGACTTATTTTTGTGCCTGACATGGAAAAAAAGACTAAAATTTCTTACATCTTTTTACCGCAGTTAATAAAATTATTCGGAGTTTGGAGTTTCATACAGCATGATTATAACAAGAACTCTACCAACCATCTCTTTTAAAGAGCTCAACTTTAGCCAAAAGCTACATTAGGAATTGAGTTTAAAAACCATTCTTAATAATTATGCTCAGCTCTCAAGACATTAATTTAGATTTTTATCTTCTTATACCTTATTCTCAGTGTATTTTCCTGTATCAATTTGCTTTCAAATCAAACAAAAATTCATTATACAAAGTGTGATTGAATTTAAAGAGATTTCAAAAGTGTTTTCAAGAGTGTAAGGTAAGTTTTAATTATTTTAAATACATAAGAACAGACAGTTAACATAAAAGCATTTAGTTTTCAAACTGAAAATTATTTTTTATTTTTATTTTCAACAACATCTTTAATATGTCATTCTCCCTCTTTATGTATTTTATTTTATAACCAGCATTGAACAGCTGACCCAATTCTGAGTTTACAACTACTATTGTTTAAGTAAGTAACCATCTAATTTTGAACCCAACCCAGAAGACAAGGAAAGTCCTGGATTGAGCATTGGGACTAACTAGCCTTCGTCCAGGACTTTTGATAGATCCAATATGCATTTGCATTACACTAAGATGAAAACTATGAAAATCTCGCATGATTAGCCTGGCTGCAAGGGGATTCTAACCAAAGATTCGTCTACCACTAAGGATATTTTAAATCTGCACTGCAGCAAGCTGGAAGCAGAATTCATAGCAACGAGTCAATGCTGGGATTCGTACCTGGTACACCTCATACTGAGGGAAAAGCTCTATCCCCTGAGCCACCACGACTGCTCCATATGTATTTGAAAATTTCTCTGCTAACCATGCTCATAACCTGTTGTAGCATCTCCACAAGAAAAAAATGCCTTTACATGATAAGCACATTGTGCTCCTGCCCACGACTATTGGACAGAAGCACAATTCCATTTTCACTTAAATTAAAAGTTTTTGACAAGATTCAGAAACATTCATCGCTAAAAGTGCTGTTACAAAATCGCCCAAATTCACTACCATACCTTAAGACCATTACTGGGCTAATAATTTTAATTTAGTTAAGCTGAAATATATTAGTACAAATTTTGAACGCATCTGTAACATTCTAACAGTCAAACTACCTTTTATATGATTAACAAAAATTATTTAGATATTAATGCAATTATTGAAAAAAAAATTCGTGTTTACATTAATTTCCCTTTTATTAAAATAATTCTTAAAATAAGTTACTTTTCACAGTTATTCAATATCTTTTTAAAGCTTTATATAAAATATTATTTTACTGACATTCTAAACCAACACGCGTATCCGTTAACAATACTGTTTAGAAATTTTAAACGGTTTTCTTTTTCAAATTAAAAGGGTTTTTTTTTAAATTAAAAGAATTCATAAACGTCATAAAATATGAATAATTTTTATAATTGATTTTAGTTCATAAAACATCAAAAAATTTTAATTATACAAAACATTAAAAAAACAAATTAAAGAAAAAATAATAATATATAAAATAAGTTACAAGAAAATACCCCAGTTTTATTGTTTTATTTGTTAAATTTTATGTTTACATAGTAGGAGCAGTAGAAGCAACTTATTAACCCTGATTCTTAGAACGTCTTTGAGAACTGGTAATTAAGAACTTAAACAATCAAAAATGTTTGGGGAAAAAAATAAGTGATAAATATAATGATAACAATAAAACTTCAGGTAAATAATTTACAAATGCAATAAACAAAAAACCAAACATTACCATTTGATTTGGGCAAAAAAAGTTCACTATGAGACTTGTTCATATGTAAAGTTCTTCTGACATATTCTCCAAAACTTTCAGTCGTTAATACAAATATGATTGGTAGACACTTTCCAAAGTGAATCAACATATTTCCTACATCTGTAGCCATTAGCATTATTTGAACAAATGTTTTGTCTATAATAAAACCAAATAAAAAAATATTAAAAATTGAATAACAAGTTAAAAAAATTTTTAAAGTGAAATGAATACTTATATTAAGATATTTTTTAACGATATTACTAACAGAAAATTTATAACCTAAGGGGAAATTTGCATCTTCATAATGTATAATTGATTCAATAAACAGTTCAATGGCACTAGAACTTGATTTATATAGGCTAAACTAGACATTAGGTAAAACAACTTATAATATGCACTCACAATAACAATATTAAAAAGAGCCAGAAATTATGTCTACAGTAAAGAAGAAACTAACAAAATAAAAAAAGGAACTGTCATCATGATATCTCTGAGTTTACAGAAACTGAACCACGAAAGAAGAAAAATATTTTGAAAACAAATTTTAACACTTTAAGTTACTAAACAAATACCATTAACAAATTATGAACTTTTTTTCACATTAGTTTATTTTAATCACAAATACTAAACAAATGTATATTCAATAGCAATTACCAAAATAATGATTGCTAAATCTTTTTAGAATGAAATCATAGTTTAAATACTGATTTTGATAAAATAAAAGGTCTTTTTTCCAATTTTTTAAATAGAAAATCTGATTTTATTGAAAAAAATTTATAAATGACCAAGCAAAGGAAAAAGTGAAAACATTGTGACATTTACAATATGAGAACTAAATAAATATGTATTTGTTCCTGAATGCCTTTAGAAAAAAAGACATTAGAATTTTACTATTTTAAAAACCTTTAATTTCATATTTTACTGTAATGGCTTCAAATCAAATTTAAACCTGAAATTTACTGCTATTTAAAACTAGTTTGACAAATTGGAGAGTTTCAATCAATCACAGTTTAAATCAATTTCAAATAAAGAGAATCAAAAAATTTGGATAAGTATCAAAACTGAATGAATCACTAAATCCATTCAGTGACTTAATTCTAAATCAGTACTTAATACACAAGAGCCTACTAAATTGCATTAACTACGGAATAAAATTAAACTAATAGCATTAGTACTATTAAAAAATATTAACTAAAAATGAAAACTACAAGACAATGGGATAAATGCTCAAAATCATTTTTAAATGGTTACTTTGTTTCAACTGTGCAGTTGCAATAAAATTTGCTAAAATAATTATAGTCAGTAAACAATCTGAATTAAATGCATATTGCATATAAAGTGCAATACTAAAAGATTTGTAATAAAATGTATTCTTCTGTTAGTGATGTTGCATGTGTTCAATGTAGAGGAAAGTTTTTCTATGACACTTCTTGCCACAAAATTTCAAAAATTAATCAACAACCTGAATCTTTTTCTGTATTCATATTTTTTAGAGCATTTTAGGAATTTAATACCAGAATCGTGATTTATCTAATCTAAATGTGTTTAGCAAAATCTTTCAACAAAAAATAAGCACTTTTTAAGCACTAAAAATATTTTTAAGCACAATATACACTAACAAATTGCAAAATAATTTTTTAAGACTTTATATGATCATGATAATTTAATTAGTTTCTGACAAAGAATTCATTTGTTGATTATATTAGCCATCACAAAAAGATAGAGAGATTTTTCGATTCGATTTCAGGGGGTGGGAAAATGAAGCTTGAAATTGAGAATATCTTACAAAATGCAGCAGAGTTGCACATGAGATTGCAAGAATCTCACCAAACCCAGTTCAGTATGGGTACATGCGGATCTGCAAGTATTTGATCAAGCATGTAAACTAATCGGCGTTTTCATATGCTACGGACTGATGGTACGGTAAAATGCATTGTGAAAACGTTAAATAGAACAATGTGAAAACCATGCTTTTGCATAATGCGTGCCGAAAATCGACATGGTAAAGGAAAAAAATCTCATTTTTTTTAGAGGGAAAATTAAGCAATTTTTAATAAAACCCAATAAAAAAAGCACCTGTAAGGGCTTTTGAAATACGGAAATAAGCACCTTTAAGCACTTTTTAAAAACGCTATGCATCATTTTATATAGCTCAAAAATCTAACATTTAAATTTAATTTCTTAAGCATGAAGAACCAAAGTAAATGACAAAAAACACAACGAAACACTAAATTAAGCAGATAATGCTTTTAAGAAAGAAGCCAGTTGATTTGTCATCTCACAAAAGTGTGATACTAAAATCTGAATACAGTGAAACCTGTGTGAGTTAATCCTTTAATGGTCAACTTAAAAGAGTAGAATAAGTTTTTGTTTTTTTATTCCATTTAAAAGCATATCATTTTTATACATTTTTTAATAATCCAAATATACTTAACTCATATCAAATATTATACTAATCGAAACATAAGAAATGTAATTTTATTTTATTCGATAAATTTAATATTAAACTTATTAATTTAATAAAATAACACAAATTTTTTATTAAGAGTTATACCAGTTATTTACTTACTATTATTTCTTAAAATATCAAAGAACATGGGCAACTTATAAACTTAAGATTACAATAATTTTGACACCTTGAAATTTATTTTATAATACTTTTTAGTTAAAGTTAATCACTAATATACCTCATATGGTCAACTCGCAAAAAGAATACAAAACGTAATAGAAGATTCTGCTACCTTATCAAGATTCTAGACTAGCATTAATATTTCTAGAAAAATTTGCTCACTCATTTTTTTTATTGCCAGATAAATTCAGTTTTCGATAAGAGGTCAACTTGACAAGTATTACTGGACTCACTTTAATAAATTCCTATTTCTCCCTCTTTGCCATTAAAAAAAATATAATACACACATTTCAGAACTTTTTCAGATACAACGGACCACATTGAATTGCACAACTGCACAGAGAGAGACAGATTTTGTCTCATGTCATATAATATTAATTCTACTCCGAATACAGATAATAGCTTATAAACAAAGTTTCACCCACTTCTAGTATAGTTTTTAAGAAATAAAACAAATGTTAAATTTCTTTAGAATCTTTTGTACACTTAGAATGTTAACTCTTGTTAGGGAATTATTTTTCTTTATTTAAAATAGCAAAGCAATATTTTAATGTTAACTATGATTTTTAAACTGTTTTTCCATGCTCTGAGCGAAATTTTTTAGAGATTGGTTTTAAATAAATAAAAAGAAATAGGTACGTCTTAAATTCGTTGAATTTTTCAGGCATTACAAAATTAAGAAATGAACAAAGTATTAGGGACATCAAAAGTATGAAGTATTCAGATCATAAAAAAAAATAATAAAAAAATTTAAAAAAAAAAACAGAATTATGGGTAGCATATATAATTAATATACTTATGTATTAAAAGATGAAAATTCTGAACAATTTGGTATCTATATCTATTAGATGGCATAGTTTCAGGAAAAATTAAAAACTTTGAAAACAAAAATAATTTAGGGTAGAAAAGCTGTGAATCTTATAAATGTTAAAAATCTTTTTTTCTTTCTTTTTTTTTTGCAGATAAAAAATATAAATTTATATGAGCATTACAATAACATTGGTAAATGAAACTTACTATCAGTGATAAGTGGAGCTAAGAAATATAAACTTCTGTCAGTTATTGTTACATGAAGAGAGTTCGTGTGTTCTTCAGGGTGAATTTTATAAGAACCGATCCTAATACTTCTACATTTCAAAACAATTTTCTTGGGCAATAAAGACTGCATTTTATTAAATTGGGGCATAAATCTCTCTTCCTCATCAGGAGGGATTTCTTCTTCTTCCTCCTCTTCCAATTCCTCATCTTCTTCATCGAATTCGGGTTGTTCTAGTCCTACCTCGTCCATCAATTCCTCTTCTGATTCCATCTCATGTTCCATTTCTTCATCTTCCTGCTCCTCATCTTCTTCTCCCTCTTCCATGTCATGATTCAATCCATGTTTTGATACAAATCGGGTTCCTATTCTGGTTACTCCGGGATATTGCGGGTCATCGAATTCTGGATTCTCCTAAACAGGAGGAAAACAATATGGTATACTGATACAAAGTACCCTTTTCTATAAAAACTACTATTCCTTTAAAACTACTCCCATGCTGTTTACTACTTGTTAAATAAAAGTTTCATAAAATGAAAAATTAAACTTTAGTATGCTACTTATTCACGTAAAATTAATAAAAATAATTGTGATTTCTGACATTAATTTATCAACTAGTAAATAAAAAGCTAAAAACAGTTTAAATATGTAATAAAAAATGCTTGAATAAATTGATTTGATAATAATCTGCAAAAATTAATTTAGAATGGTTTCATTTCAGAATCAAAAAAGAGGCAAGTTTTCATTTAATTGGTATTGTATTCCTGACCAAAATGTAGATAAAGTTTAATACTCTAATTATTTAGCATATTTATAGTATATATTTATAATATGATGGCCGACGCTAAGGTTTTAAATTATTAGCCAAACATCAAAAGTATTTGCAAATGCAAATTTTAATTTTCCATGATTAATTTTTTTCCCATAGAATACTATTTTATGGTAGTTTGTTTCAGGCTTATATTATTTGAACCCAATTCTAAATGGTTATGCAGCGCATCTACCGAAAATTACTGTAATCAAATAAAAAACACTGATTTGTTTTGAAAAATTCATTTTTTTGTAATTTTACGGATCGAGTTAAATATACGCTTGTCTTTCCAATGGAAAAAATAATTCGTTAAAACACAATTTATTGGCCAAATTCACGATTTTTTTCATTCACATTTGGCGAGGTGACGAATGCTTAATGCGGGCTTTGAATATATATTTACTCATGCCAAAATAAAACATAAGAATTCATAAGTGTGATCTTCTCATTATTAAAATGACATNCAAACCGGACACTACTTTTTCAAAATAAATTGCAAGCTAAAAAAATGCAACTTTTCACCATTTTTATAGCATGTAAATAAAACTTTTTGCCTAATCCATAACTAAAAATATTGTTAAGCTATTTCACCACCGAAAAATCAATCTTTCTCCTGTCACCTTGCCTTATCTTTGTGAAGAAAGGAGAGAAAATGGTACTGCACTCCTGAAGTAATTCTGACATCGGCATCTTCTGATATTTTCATCTGGACCACACAAGTTATGAGACCCCTCTAGTTGAAATGACTTCTCTCAATGCGTCTTCCCCATTGAAAATTTCTTTAATTTTCTTATCAATTTGAAGACTGTATTTAACACAACTGGGGTAAAAAAGTAAAATTTGATAAAATTNTATATTCTTTTTTATCTTTCTTATTGTTTAAATAAATATTCTTGTAGATATTTACAGTATCCTTGTAGATATTATTTAATTATTTCTACATCTTTGAGAATATTCTAAAAAAAATTTACGGTGTTAAATTTCGTCATTAGGGTACCCTTCCCGTAAACGGACAACTCTCATAAACGGACAAATTTTTTGGTCCCATGAATGTCCGCTTAACGGAGGTTTCACTGTATACGCTTGTCTTTCCAATGGAAAAAATAATTCGCCAAAACACAATTTTATTGGCCAAATTCACGCTTTTTTTCATTCACATTTGGCGAGGTGACGAATGCTTAATGCGGGTTTTGAATATATATTTACTCATACCAAAATAAAACATAAGAATTCATAAGTGTGATCTTCTCATTATTAAAATGACATAATATACTAGTATTTTAACTATAAAAAAAATTATCAGGAATAAGTTTCTATGTGAAAGTACCTGAATCTTATTTTTCGCCACAGCAATGTGATTCGAAGTGAAAGAAAACATTTGGTTATACAAGTTTTGGTTAATAACTAATTGGCATTGATTTTAATTCTTAAGATATTAAATTATTTAGAATTTTTATAGTATAAATATTAATACTTCACCTTAATTTAGTTTATTAAAAAAAAATTTAAAAACTACCTAATAACTTTCATTTCGTGTAAATTTTAAAATTTTCTTGGTAATATTTAAAACATTAAACATCATACTTCTTGCATCATATCTGAATTGCTGGAATGTTCAGATTCAGGATTTTCTTCTAGATCATGAGAATATAATATCTGCCTATTAATATCATCTGGAATGGACTCAAATGGTAAAGCTTCTTCTTCATCTGAAGATAATGTGTAGCAAACTGCCATGAAAGAAAAAAAAATATGTTGTAACACAAGTTTATAGACTAGAGAATTTTTAAAAATGGCAATAGATTTAGAAAATGCTGCAATAATGATAAAATATTTTGAATCCCTTGAATATAGTGAATTTGTTCAAATGGGAAATATAGGAGTAACATATGCAAGATAATAAGATTTAACTAAACTAATTTAATGTCAAAATATTGAGCAAGTTGCACAATATTTTGAAACAAAATTCATTTAATTAATGAAAATTTTTAACATGCATATCATTAATTACAACACGTTACACTTTTATCATGCAAAGTTTTTACACTTTTAAAAAAGGAAAAAATTGACAAGAAAAAAAAAGAAGCTAAGAGAAATAAAATAAATTATTTCAACTACTTTTTAATTTTAAGGTGCCAATTTTAGACAAAACACATTTAGAAGCAAATAAATTTGAAGTTGTAAGCAATACAAACTACTTTAAAAATATGTGTGCACAATACTTAAGTCTGTTGCGCCTTTAGTTTGTTTTATGTTTAGAATTAAAAGAAAAAACCATCATTTTGATCTCAAAAACTGTTTTCTGAATGACAAACATGTAAAAACTTGTTTAAACCATTAAAAACTGCCAAAAACTTTAAATGAATGCTAAGAATTAGAAAATCTATTAAAGAAAGAAAAGTTTGAATAATGCAAGTAATCCGTGAAAACATGACTCTTAAAAACAAGTTAGACAGTCTGTATACATGTGTTAGGCCAGATTTTCTAAATTTGAGATATTTTATGAGATGCCTTATCAATTTATTCCAATATATAAATGATTCTAACAAAATTAAAAAATAAATATTAACATTTCTCCCACAAACATCAAAAATACCAATAAAAGTTTGCTGGGAATCTATCTAAACCGTTCCTTTTAAATTCCACCTACTCATGAAAAAAGACAAAATATTTTCATGTATTCTGCAATGAAATAATTCTAACACTGTGTCAATTTATTGCTTTTTGTTTACATACAATGAGTAATAACACTACTAAGAATTCAGTAGTAAGTGAGTCTTTGAACTCAACGAACATATCGCAATAGAGCTCCCAAACTCTTTGTCTTAAAACAAATTTAGCAGTTTTTTTGTACAAATATGACAGAAACGCCAATATATTTTATTGCTTTAATAACTAGTCAGCTTACCAGTGCCAAACAATTATTATAATAAATTCAAGTTATGATAAAATTTTATTTTTAAGTTAGAAAAAATTAGCCTCACTTAGCTTTATCCTTTTTCTTAAAGGATGAGGCTAAGCCCCCTCAGGAATAAAGAATCAGAGTTTAACTGAAAATAATTCAACAGAGAATAAATTAAAAAATTGTTTTATACAATCAGTAAGAAACTAATATTTATGGAAGTAATAAGTAAAAGAATAGTTAATCAAAAACAAAACTACAATTATTGAAGTCAAATTTAAAAACATACCTGGCTCAACGTAACGCCTTTTAGGTCGACCCCGTCTCGGAGATACTTTAACAAGTTGTTGAGTCTGTTGAAATTTGAAATTTTGATTTGGACTAATGTGGTAAACAACATTCATCGTTTTTTGAATATTTGTTGTCACATTCTGTGTCACAACAATTGAAGCTGAATCTGCTTGTGCATTTTTAAGATGATATCTAACAGGTGTGGAAGTAAATACTTCATGACAAGAATCACAAGAAGTCATGTTATAAGAACACTGGCTACATGATGGACATATTACAATTATATTCTGATTAGACTCCTGTAAAAGTTACAAATTAAAAGAAATAAATTAATAGTTACTACAATAAAAAATATATCACACAATTTAAAAACTAACAGCTAAATTAAAATCAGCTCAGAAAGATTTTGAGTCAGATAAAAAGCGATAATCAATAATGTATATAACTTAGCGCTGGCCAGCCTCTAAAGGTATACAAGAAAAATATATGTGCATTACTCACAAAGTTGGAAATCTTGAAATAGCATTCCCTGCAATGACGAATTTTTAAAAAAAATCGGCTGAATCACAAGGTATTTCTTACATGGATGTTTTTTCTAATCAGATATTATAAATAATATCCAAGTAAGACAGCATAAGTAAAATTTATGCTCCAAAAAAAATTTATTAATTAAACAACGAAAATGTACTTTTTCTTTCATCATCAACTATTTTTTTAAAGGACACAAAATGTGATTTTTTTTTTTTTTATGATTTACACATGCCAAATCATACACTCATACTTCTCCTAAAGAGCATTTGTCTTTGTATATAAAGTCTTGGTAATGTACAGATAATCTTTCATACATTATACACAATGTCAACATTTCTATATTACTGGTGACATACATAAAACAATAATCATTAGATTTACAGCTGTATTCTCATAAAACAGGCGCAAAAAATTATAACAAATGTGTCTTAAATGCAGTTGCTTCTGAATTTTGGCAAACTTCCCATTGTCTGATTTTTCTTCTTGTTATTATTATAGCCGATTCCCATTTGTCTTGGAAATCAGATTTTGAATTTCATACAAACTATTTATTTGTCTATGCTTATTTGTATTACAAAAATATTTCTTTTTACTTCAAAAAAAAACTTAAAACAGGAAGAAAAAAAGGAATTATGAAAATGCAAAATTTAAAGAATTAAAAAAATATTTCATAATTTCCTATTCATTAAGCTATTCAGTTTAATAAAACTTATTTTGCATTATGATAATGGTGAAGAGGTTTGTAGCTTATCTTAAAATCAATTGAATAATGATTAATTTAAGTATTATTTAAAACTAGCCAAATTAATTTTGCAGACTAAGCTCAAATATTAATTTAGATATTACTTATGATTCATATAAACATTTTTTTTTAAAAAAATCAGTTGTGACTTAACTTTAATAATTCATAAAATCACAGAGAATTATCAATGCTAAGTTACTTTCCATGCAGTCTCTCTTAAAAAGAAATTCAAAGTATAATACTAGAGTCACCAGAATTAGCTCATAAATCATTTAAAAAGTATTTCTATTAAAACTCTAACCACAGAATAGTGTTTCACTTCAAATGCAATTTTTTAAAGTACCACCTCTAGGCCTATATATCACTAGTCTGTTTTGGACAGAACTTTAAGATAATATTTTACAATTATACAAGTTTTAACACTTTAGTACTTCTCAACTGCATACAACTTTACTTTCATATTTTCTTATTGATGATATATTAGCTGCTTTTGACAATTTGAACGAAATGCACTTCTCCTCTTTATCGTAATACACAACACAAGCTAGATCCCTTTCAATAAGTCAATTGTCTTCAATGATAAAATTTTAAGACAAATATACAGTATTTTATTAAATTTCTAATTCACAGAATGAAAATTTAAGTTAACTTTTTAAATTCTCTTTGCAACAATAATCTTTCTGACTGGAGAATAAATGTTAGATATACATATATGCCCAGAAGCAGAATTTTTAAGCTAATTTGAAGCTTCATCTTCATAAATCAAAATTCGTCTGTGATCTAAATACAATAAAATGGAGACTATTATTGTAAATATAAGGTTCAACAAAACTTGAATTTGCCAATTATAGATAAAAACTGAATACAAGAAATGTATGGTTTTTCCAGACTGTAATTGGAAAGTGTTGGTTTACTTAAACATTCATATAGTGAAATTTGCACATGTAGATAAGATAAATACAGTAGAGAACGGATTATCCGGAACGATCGGAACCATCGCGATTCCGGATAACTTTTTTTTCCGGTTTTCTGAATCGCTACAAAATGTCGCTTTTTTAATGTTTATAAAACGAAACTAAAAAATTTTTTTGAAATAGTTTTAGAAATAATAAAAAATGATAAATAATAATACACTTAAGTTTAAATAAGGAAAGAAATTATGAAATAAAAATTATATACAGGCTTACATATGTCATTATTAACATTAATAACATACATAAGCTATTTGTGCTTATGTGAGATTCGTCTACAAACGGCTTTTGATCCATCCTCTAAATCAGTTCTTTCGTCAACTTGATACGCCGTACGCTCTAAATAACAAAATAGGCTCAAAATCTTGCAAGAAAAAAAAATCTTTTTAATGGAAGAAAATTAATTTCCGGTTCCGAATTTCATTCCGGTTATCTGGTTCTCCGATTTCCGGATAAGAGGTTCTGCACAGTAAAAAAAAAAAGTCTATACAAAAATTTATGCTTTTTCACAATTAATTTGAAACTTATACAAAACTTATACTTAAAAGGAAAAAACTTAAAACTTCCAAATATTAATTCAAAGAAAATAGCAAACCAAATTATTTAAGATTCAACACTGAAGAAATAGAATTTTTAAGTTTAGGTACAAAATAAATAATTATTAATTTAAATCACGTGAATACATTTTAACTGATTCAAACTATAATTCACTAATTGCACTATATTAAAAACTTTTTCCCAAATTTCAGTTCTTGCAACTGCATTATCAAAACACGGCACCTGCCTGATTAGTTGATTTATGTTCCAGATTTTGAAAATGAGAAAAATGATTTCTTATCGTTCATTAGTGAGGAGTGAAAAGAAAAATCTTAACTTGTTCACTTGATATCTATATAATTCAGCGACTCCATTAGCTTTGAAAATGGAAAAAAAGAAAGACATAGCCTAGTTAGCAACTTTCTTATTTATTTTTGAAACTCGAGATAAAAACATTATCTACAGATAGTGTGATATTCTGCCATGTGCTTGTTCCTGCTACCGAGTATACAAAAAAAAAGAGAGCTTCTATTATTAGGATGCGTTTATTCCAGGAAGATTAAAAACATTTATAAAAGTCAACTCAACTTACAACAGGCTTTTTAGTAGAGGTACTTGCACTTGGAGTTGATGTTTGAACAGGAGTTATTGTTAAGCCAGGTGTAATAGATCTAAAAAAAATAGATATAAATTAAAATCATAAAAAAAAGAATATTTTTTTCATAAATAGTAAACAATATATAAGATAAACAAACCTTAAGTTAAAAACTTTTTTTTCTTTTACAGGACTCTCATCTGAACTTAAAGCGTTTATGTCAGATTGACTGCCACTTTGATCAGAGACACTTGAAGAAGCTATTTTAATATATTTTCTTGTGTTGGCTGATACTGGAGTGCTGCAAAAAACAAATTTTCAATTCAAATTAAAAAAAGGTGATTAATTTTATGAATATCAAATTATATCTTCAGGAACATAGCTTTTTCTTAAATACATTTTTAAATATCTTTATAAATAGTATTATTGAGAAAGACTCACAGCATGTTCCCTTACCTTTCTTGGAGGTCAATTTTCAAATTGCATTAAAACTTGAGAAACATTTTTGTAATTAGCATATAAAAGTGTAATTTTCACAATGTTAATGAAAAAAAAAATGCTTTTTTTTAAATCATATTTTTTATGTATTTATTTTTGAATTTTCCTTTCTTTTTTTTTAACCTTTATCAATTAAAATTGATACAGTGCATTGCTAATACTGATATCATCTAAAAACAATATTATAACTAAACTACTTACAATTTCTAACTAAAATGCTATACATTATATTATTAACATAAAACTAATCACTGAACATATAAAATCATAGTTTAACTAGTCCAATACTCTCACGAATTTGATAAAAATCCAATTTTTCAGCTAGATATCAAATGGAAAATAAATTAATTTAGATCAGGAAATACAAAAAAAATTGGCTATTCTAAATTACTCTAAGCAGAACAAGTCTTTTGTCAATATTAAAATGCACAAATTTCATATTTAATAAGCTTTAAAAGTAATTGAAAGAGACATAAGTTTAAATTAAATAAGCATAACTGGATATTATTTAATTGTGTACATTAAACAAATTATTTTAAATAGATCATTCCATTTGAAATGGTCCTAGATAAAAAGGAACAAAAATTTTGAAGGGGCTAAAAAACTTATCTTATTATTATTTATTTATTTTTAACAAGTAAATGACAAAATATGAAACTAAAAGACTGGGAATGACTCTAACCCAAATGTGTGATAGAAACTCTACAACAACTATCATCAACAGACTTGCAAGTGGACGTACAAAATGCTTATGAAAACAGCCTTTAAAACATGCACCAAGTGCCATGGCCATCAGGCTTTTGCCTGCAGCATATTCAAGATTCCTTAAGCCTTGCATGAGAGTATTTCATTCCCAACGCACTTTTCTTGAGTTAGACTTCTTGAAAATTAAAATCCTATGGATCCTTACTGATGAGGGGTTTTTATAGTTTTTTTCTCTCCATGTAACACAAATGCAGATGAGTTGCTTTAAAAAGTCCTCCACAAAGGGTTGTTTGTCCCAATGCTTGATCCATGAATTTCCTTGTCTTTTGGGTTGGGTTCATAATTACAAGCACTGATAAACTCTAAATTAGGTCAGCTGTTCAATGTCAGTTATAAAATAAAACTCACTGATAAGCAACAACAGAAAAAAATTGTAAGATAAAACAAAATATCGAATCTTAAAATAGATAGTATTTTAGGCCCTAACAGACTTTAAAAATAAAAATAATTAGATAAGGAAACATAAACAAGGAGTTTATTTTCCTTTCTAGATGTAAATTAGAAATAGAACTACCATATTCATAGAATTGAATAAGACGAAGTCAATTAGAGCAGGCTACTAACAGTAATAAGATGCTCTCCTGTACAATAAAACACCTAGTTGCCATTAGTAATCAGAACATACTGACTATTTCAAGAGGGTCAACTGATTTAGTTTACCCTTGCAGTTTTAGACAACTTATCCCCTAAAAAATTAAAATATTAAGAATAATATTTTTAAATTTTACCTTGTGGCAGCTGCCACTCGTTTAACAGAAGTTTTAGGCATAATATTTACACCAGTTGATTGAGCTTCAGATGAGTTTTCTAAAAAGGAAAAAAAAGAATTAGAAGTTTATCAAATTTTAAACCATCACAGTCAGAATTTAATTCATAATTAAAATATTAGTAGTTAAATTACAAGAAATTTACAGATTAATTACATTATTAGCAACACAAGGCTTTTTTCGTAAAGTTATGTGAAATAACACTTTTTTGAAAGTAATATGTTAATTACGTAATTGTTATAAGTTGTAATAGTTTTTATGATTAAGTTTTATCAATCTTTGACCATCTTACTTTGTGTTAATTACGAAAATGGCTTAAGATGTCAAAAGGAATATAAGTCACAATATCACACAATGAAGCATTTTTGGTGTAATTTTTTTACTGTTTGAAAAACTACTTCAACACTGCATTAGACTTAAAATATGCACACAAAAAATTGATTTTTAATAATTTCATCTAGATAGAAAATTATACTAACTGACAATTTTTAAAAACTTTAATAACTTTTTATTCGCTAAAAAGCTCAGACAATTCATTACAACAAGGTAGTAAATTAAATCAAAACCTCTGATTTGCACTAACTTTGTTTTGAAGAGAACAGAATCTTTATTTGAATTAATTCGGCTGAGTACATGTACAGTGTGCAATATAAAAAGAAAAAAATGGAACCTCCAAAAAACTTTAAATTTAACGATAGATTTGTCATGTACAAATATTCAACCTAATAACGAAGAGACTTAATGACCTGGGATAGATTACTTAGTTCAGGTATTACCAGTTTAGATTGTTTCTGAAACTAAAATATTCTTGGATACATTGTTCAAAAATTTAATGACATTTAAAAAAATTTTGTTTTCTAACAACCAAACTGTAACTTCTGATGCTGATGGGGGGAAAAATAAAAATAAGGATTTGTTACTGTTCAGAAAAAACGCCCTAAGCATCAGGATTGATGAAATTTTTGAAACTTGTGGTGGTTGCAGAAACTGAAGAAATGTTAAATGATATTGATGATAGAAAATGAAACAGAACAATAATCCGCTTCAACAGCAGAAAACCTCAAAACTTTTGAAACAAGACACTTTCTGCTTTCACAATAATTTACAAATTTTGGGCTTATAAATATATGCATATGTGTTACTTCATCTTTTTTCTTTTTTTTCTATAGCAAAAATTTTTTTACAGTGGATACAATTCTTTATACCTAATGTAAATTTATTAATTTTCAAGCGAATTATTCCTTTATTACTTTTGATGTTTTTTCGAGTCATTATTATGTGTTGATCTGCATTCATTGTTTTTCTGTATCAATCATTCTCATTTCTAATGAATGGTCCCATGGGACATAATCGATCGTGATTCTACTGTAGTTCAATCTATTATTTACAATTTAAGTACATATAGAAATGTTAATCTTTGAATACATGCATTATTCATGCTCATATTTAATACATATGAAATAAGTACTGACCAATTGTATCCATTTCTTAATTGAAATTTGCTGATAATTTAATCAGCAATAACAAAATTAAGATTATCATTTACATTTTTCATGAATTTAATAATTAAACTAAAATATTGATACTTCTGTGCAAGACTATTATACACAGTGTTGTGTATTCTGCATTTGCTTTATTACTCTTACTTAATTATAATTATTTTTTAGAAAGTTATTAAGCATTTATTATTTGAATAAAAACAAAATTAACTTGCTAGTGACAAAGTACATATTATAATTTTATCTTAATCTCATCAACTTGTTAAAAAAGACTAGCTAACATTCCCCTGCTTTTAAAATATTTTTAAACATGAATGTAAAGTCAAAAAAAAAATTTCAGTTATAAGGTAGATTTCATCATCACATTAATATCACTTATACATCAACCATCCGGCTATTGCAAAAATATTAACCATTTAAATTTTATTGCCGATTGAAATGAAGTATAAACAAGTTTCGAGAACTATATTTTAATATGTACTTCATTCAGTCTTATTTCAATTTATTTCAGCAGCATCATTAGGGTTACAAGTTTGTCACAGGAAAAAAAGGATTAAAAAAATCACAAGAGATTTGCATGGAATTTTGAAAATGTCATAGGAAAACATATATATATATATATTTAAATTATAGATACACACACAATACATGCTCTGACTGGCAAACTAAATACAATTCATAAAATTAATAAAAGTGTGTAAAAGAGGTGATTTTTTTTTCTTTAAAATTTAGGCACTATAGTTTTTTTCAAATCAAATATTACACATTTATGAATAATTCTTGTTTACGTTTTATCATGCATCACTAATTTTTCTTCTTTTTTTTAAACTTTGGAAACAATCGCTTATGCTAATCGCTAGTTGTAGACACTTACAAAATCAAATTGCCACTTTAGTTAGATAACGCTCTCTCAATCATTAATTTGTTTATCTATAAACATTGGAATGCATAAAAACGTCATTTTTTTATTGACAAATTCTTTTAAATATATTATCAATTTTACATTATCAATATAAAAACTTTTAAAAAACACTAATTGTTTTTAAAATGTAGGTGATATTTTTTTTAAAAAAACTATAATTTTAAAATTTTTTCGCAAATAGTAGCATTACAGAAAATTAGCGCAGTCAAGAAAAAGTTTATAATTAGTGGAAACTCATGACAAATTTGCATTCCTAATCATTATTAATAACTGATAAATGGTGATTCTTATATTCTATTCAGCAATTAAACTATTGTACTATTTTGGTTTTACACAAAATAAAAGCAATAAAAAATATGTAGTAAAGATGCTTTAAAAAAGATGTAGATGGAGTAAATTAGAATTATGAAATGAAATTTGGATTTCTATATGTTTTATGTATGTAACTAAGTAATTTATCGATATAAAAGTGAGTAAAAAGTCAGAGAAATTGCTAGTCAAATTGCTTGATTAAAAACATTTTTACCTTCTTTTAAATAAAAATTTTAGATTGTTCAATGAGACTGCAATAGTCAACTGTTCCTTATTACATATTATTTTAATAAAGCAGAGTTAGATACTTCTTTTAAGCATATTCACCAAGAAAGAATACACTGATTAAATCCCCATAACAAAATTATACCGTCAATACTTTTGAAAATTGTTTAGAAATTAAAGCTTATGACTTCTAAAAATGTTATGAGGTATGTTTGTTATATGTCTATATTTTTGTATGAAATATATATATGAAAACAAAAGAGCATGGTTAAAATACAGCTTTAGAGAACAGACATCACTCAGTAATTTTAGAATAACTGAGCTGATTAACTTTTTTCTACCAGTTGCTAGAATAATTAGGATAATTCTACATCCTTGCTTCAATTCCACATTTAAAGTTTAGTTAACATAAATATTGAAATAACTAGTTACTGTTACAATTAAACAGATAATATATTGTTATAGGGACAAGATTCTTAATAAAGTTTTTATCCACCTCTACAAAGAAAAAAACTTATGCTTTAAAATTTTACATTATAGTAAAATTTTAAAGCATAATTATTGATTACCAACCAAATTTAATTTTTCATTCAAAAATATACTAAATGTGCCTAAACTAGGATATAAATTAAAAAAAGATTGAACATATTAAATAAAATTATGTTACAATAATAAATTTAAAAAATAACATGAAAAATAAAATTATGTTAATTCCATGACAAACAGAAATGTTATATAGATACATATGCCAACAAGGCTTTAAACCTGGATATTTTAGAAAGGGTCTAAAGATATATTGCATAGATTTCATAGTTAAATTAATAACGTAATTACTAAGTAACATAATAATTTAATAATCAACAAAAAAGATTAAATAACATTCTTTCCACATTCTTATTAGAAAAGTTTACAAATATTACTATTTAAGATTACTACTTCCTCATTCTTCCCGTGGCAGAATCAAAGCACCACGGCGACATTGTCGAAGAACCTTGCAGAGTTCTTGCAGAAAGATTTCTCGTTAGAAAAGGAATATGAAACAATACAAACAATATGAAAAATTGCAATCGTGCATTTGAGTATTTACTTTTTAAGGCAGTAATACCATCGAATTTTTAGCAGTTATTGCTATTGATTTTCGCCATAGATTTGAAATCAGATATTTCATATACAATATTATTTTTCGCAACCTAATCTCGAAACGAAACACGCACCTGAGGAGTCCGATTCGCGCAAGTTCGTTGTCGACCTTTTTTTTTGGCAACGGATTTCATGATTTTAATTAATTTTTTTATTGTGATGACTTACAAAATGCGACAAAGAAAATAATTAATGCGTTCCCCCCTCCAAAAAATTCGAGAATGTCACCTTTAATATTAGAATAAAAATTTATTAAATGCTCAATTAAAAAATATAATAGTTTTTGTTTTTTGTTAAGACGGCGCTTTTGTTATTTTAAATTGGTAACAAATATGTTTGTAATTATTAAAAATATCTTGTAGAAAGACATTAGTGCTAGGGACATTTGTCGTAGATAGCTTAAACACATTCTGCCACAGGGCTCATTCTTAAATTCTGTTTTATAAATTTAATGTTATTTTTTTACAAAAGAAGAATTAAAATGGCACAATTTTGAAGACAGAAATAATTTTAAAAAAAATTTCAGAAATAAATTTAAAACAGATGTTTAAATTAAACATTTTCATGAAAATATAGTTTCTAAAGCACAATAATTAAATTAAGTTCTGACTTAACAGAATATGGAACTAAATATTCCTAACAACTTAAAGCAAATTTATTTTATAAGACTTTTAAAGTTTAGAATTTCTTAAAAGGAACTAATTAATAATGAGGAACTAAAAGGCTGATTTTTTATATGAAAAATTTACAATACTATTTACCAATATGGATAGGTTTTTGAAGAAGTTCAGGTGGCAATTCCGAAATTTTTACACTCTGATTAACTGGTTTGTTCTCAGATTTTAGAGGTATGATAATTTTTTTTGGTTGAAAAGATTGACTTTCTGATGTGGCAGCATTTGGAGTCACCTTTGTGACTTTATATATTGATTTTTCATCATTTTTTACCAATGTTGATGCAACACGAAAAGGATTATGTAAAGAATGCTCTGATATTGCATTTACAGAAGATTTGTTAACTATTGGTTTACCATTATTGCTATTAGCACTAACTCGAACTGCACTGGGTTGAAACTGAGAAATAGCCCTTGGTTGAGTTATCACTTTAACATTCTGATGACCTTTAGGTGCACTAGCAGTTTTAATATCACTTTGCTTAACAGGAATTATTTTACACTGATTAGGAGTTTTTATTTCTGTCACCAATAGCTGATTTCTTCCAATACTCTTATCAAGTACTGGTGTAGAATTGCTTTGGCTTAATAGTCTTCCGGGATTACTATTTGTTTTACCTTCTAAAGGTGGAGAGGCAACTACCAATCTGCTTTGGTTTGAATTAGTTTTACTGTCAGTTGTTACATTTTGATTTTGAGTTCGAGGGTGAATTATTGAAGTTTTAGATTCAACAGGAATGTTTCGGTTAGGCTTAACATCAAGAGCCCCACTGAAGGTTAACATATTTCTATTACTTTGTGCCTTGTTTTCAGGGACTGAAGCATTTTGCGGATGGCGAACATTAGATTGGTTCTTTTCAGTTTGAGCATTGCGATTTGAAGCAGAAAATTGACATTTATTTTCAACTGAATTTGGATTATTCAATTTTTGTGATGACTGTAACTTCATTTCTGAAGTTGAAGAGACAGGTGATAATTTATTGTTGGCTCCAGTCTGTGCAGTCTGATTTGCTAATGAAGCAGACTGGGTAGTTGATCTAGTTTCTACAGTTGCATTGGAAATTTGTCTGACTTGAGAAACAGTAGGTTTATTTTCAGTTGAACTTGCAGAACGTGAATTAATAGGAAGAGTTTCACTAACAACTGCTATTTGTTTAGGTCTCATTTCTTTAGATCCCTAAAAGAAAAAAGGAACAGTGTTAAATCCAATCACCAAAAAGGAAAATATTAAAATAGAGATAAGAATATCAAGAATACTGAAATAGATTAAGAAAAGTACAACCAGCAAGAAAATGAAACAAGAAGTTCAAAAATCAAAGATTATCATAATTATGATTTTAAAAAAAATGATGATTAAAGCATGTAGGACTTTCGACAAAAGAAAAAGACCTTGAAAAACTCAACGAATAAAGTATAAACAAGAAATTGCTTTTCCTCTTTATTCCATTGAAGGTGTAACAAAGCATTGTTAAATATCAATGAAACTTCCAGGCAATATAATGATTTGAGAACTTTACAAACAATGAAAGTTATCAAAAACAATTTATTACAAGAAAAACTACCAATTTTAGGAGCTACCTAAATTTATTTCTCAACTTCTACAAATTTATTCGTATGCGAACTTAGTTACAAAAAAAACTATGAAAAACAAAAAAAGGTTAGAATCTCTGAAAACTAATTCACCAAACCAAACCAAAGACTTAAAACTTCATGCTTTGAAACAAGAATGATACAAAAAGCAATAGAAATATTTCAGAAGTTTTGCAATATGTGGGTATAACAAGCCATAATTTTTTTTCTCAGAATGTAGAAAAATTGCATCAGTTATTGTTCTGAGGCATTCATAATAATTATACGCAAATATAACTGCTTAAATTAAATGTTTTGATTAATATCAGAAACACTTCCATTTTTGTAACAGAATTAAGTCTTTTGCTGCATTAAGTGTCCCTTTGGTCACTGTTAACTATTGATCACATATCTTTTAAAATGATGATTGTTGTATATAAATTATTAGTGATGTGCAGGTTAAAATTAGAATTTGGTGCAATTTTTGTAGTAAGAACAAGTTCTAGCAACATAGAACAGTAAAAATTCTCTAATCTAGCAATTTTTAACACTTAATCATAAAATGTTTCAAGCATAGTTGTAAATACGAAGAAAGAAATTAGAACTATTTATTCCACTCTTTAAAGTAATTTATAAAACCATTTTTTATTCAAATTTTATTGTTTTTAATTTAAACCTATTAGTTTATACTTTAAATAAGTTAATTGGGGTCTTTATAGATTTAAATAAAAGCATAGATTTATACTTAACAGACACATTTAAAAGAAAGATGTTAAATACTATATCATTAACTATAACAGAAACATTTAAAAGAAAGATGTTAATATTGAATTGAATTGAAAAAAAAATGTGTTGCAAATAAAACAAATGAAGAAAACCTTTAAAAAAAATCATATTACAAATGTAAATTAGTGAATGAAAGGCCCGAGCTAAGAGTTTATCACTACGCCAAATGCCATAAAATTGTGAATTCAGTGAAAAAAATTGTGCTTTGGTGAATGATTTTTTCTACCGAAAAGAAAAAAATATACTCCACTTGTCCCCGATATTTAAATAAAAAGGTCAGAGGGAATTTTTCTGAACAACTCCTGTATTTTTTATTCCATTACAATAAAAAAATTTTTTACGTATGTCGCATAATCAATTAGAATTATATCAAGTCCAGATAATGTAAGCAACAAGAGAGATTATGTGAACATGAGACAAACTACAATAAAATACAGATTACAACATCCGTGGTCGGACCACATATTGTGTGATGAAATTTATGTGTCAATAAAACAGATTAAATGGCAGCAAATGTCATATTATCATCCAACAATTTTTATAAAAAATATGTTTTCTTGTGACAATAACATATACAGTAAAATGAGAATAACAATGTTGCTTTAGGTTTAGCCTTATAATTACTGCTCTAGTCTAAGAAGTTATCAAAAATTAACCCCCAACCTATTTCCCCCCCTCAAAGACGATAAAACATCTACATTTTTCCTCCTCTTCCACATTCATTGTATATTTACTGCGCTCCCCAACTGCAAAATGACTCTTAATTTAAATTTGCATTTTATAAAATAATTTAATTTAAAGTAAATTTGAGTTTTGTTTAGAAGTTTTCTATGGGAAAAGATTATTCATAAAAATTTTTTTTAAATTTGTCTTTGGCTAATACTTTTGATATTTGGCTAATTTACTGGATAATAATATGAAGTCCTTAGAGCGGGCTTTGGAATGGTCTACATTTAAAAAAATTTTTGATCATTGAAACATTCTTTGAATGCAATTATTTTAAGGGCTCAAAAATGTAAAATTATAAAGATGGAAAAATTTTTTTTTTTAAATTATTAAATAGACAATATTTTCTTAATTTTAAGTCATTAATAAATATTCTGTTAAAAATTCAATTTGGTTTAAAACTTCTTCAATCAAATGATTAAGAAAGAGTTCTATAACTTCAAAATGAAATAAAAAAAGGGAGTATTGCATCTAACAAAATTTTCATAAAATATTAATTGCATCTAAAAAAATTTATAAAGTATCGATTGCACCTAAAAAAATTTAATAAAATTAAATAAGAACATATTCTTAATTTATAATCTTTAGGAATTCTGTGTTTACAGAAATATAAATTTTGATTGCGCTTCAAAATCAAATGATAAAGAGTTTAATTAAATTTCTTTAAATAAGAAATATAAATATTAAAATTTTATTATTCGATTCCTAACTTTAAATAGCTAGATATGAAACCAAGTTACATGCTAGTTTAAATATTCAATCATGCGAGAACTTACATGCCGTCAACGGAAACAGGATTGGTTAGGTCGGACTTCATAGTTTTTTTTTTTTCAAAAAACCTACTTAAAAAAACAAATTTGTCCACAATTTTAGATTTTATAGAAAAAAGACATTTTCCATTGATAAACAAAGCAAAAAGAATTATAAAAGTTACATTGTTTAAAGAACAATTTATCTAAAAAAACAAAGGTTTCCTACAGACTACTATTCTTCAATCTCTTTTTAGGAAACACTGAATCAGAGCTCATTCTAGGCAGGGTAAGCAGGGCGCAGCACCCTGCTGCCCTTTTAGTCAAAAGAATCCACCCTGTTGCTCCTGATGTAATAGACTCCATATCCTGTTTGCCCTTTCTTTCCTCAACCCTTCTTTATTTTCAACTCTTTTTATTCAGTTACATTGCTGTCAATACATAGATTTATATGGGGAAGGAAAAATAGTGCACGTGTCTTTGAAAGTTTGCAGTTACTTCACTATCGTTAAATCATAATTATTATTAATCATTTTAATTATTAACTACAGACACTTAAAAACATACATTTATTATTTTATTAATATATACATGCATTTTAAATAAATTACTAAGCTAATTAGCTCATTAACTTGACACAGTTCATTCATGCATTATATGTTTTGTGTAGATAAAATAAATTAATTTTCAATAAGAAATGTAATAAAATTGCTCACATTTTAATTCATATTGCTCATAATTGATTTCAAAGAATTGTTAATATCTCTTTTTTCCCCATTTAATATGGTATAGAAAATAGATTTCACTTATGTATATTATTTGTAAAGCATTGACCTAAAAGTTTCTTTATATTATAATTGTACAAAGCCAAGTAAAATGTTTAGCTTTCTTTATTATTATACAGTGAATTCGCGATAACTCGAATCTGATAGGACTGACGAAAAACTTCGACATATCGGAAGTTCGACTTACCGTTAGTTTCGGTTTCGAACTCTCAAAATATTGTCGGATTATTTAATTAATGCTTATTAATTACAAATCTTCTAAATGCTTAAGATCATTTCTCTGACAAGCCATTTACAACAAGACTGTTTGAAGCACTTTATGATATCCTGGTCCATAGGCTGCAACTTTGCTGTTGTGTTTGGCGGGAGAAACTGCAAGTTCAAATTAGCTAGATCACTATGCGCCGTGCATTTATCCATTAAGAGTATCACTTTTCTTTTTTTAGCGAAGAATTTTGGATCCAATTTTCTTACATAGTCTTCAAATAAAACTGATGTCATGCAAAACTTTTTGTTAGACTTGTAATCCAAAGGATACGTTTTTACATTTTTGAAACATCGGGGATTTCGGTATTTTCCGATAACAAGTATGGGCAATTTCTCTGTCCCAGACGCATTTCCTCCAACTAGGACAGTCAAACGTTCCTTGCTCATTTTACCCCCTGAGCAGTTTTCATCCTTAAACATCATAGTTTTATTTGGAAGACATTTAAAAAAGAAACCCATTTCTTCAATATTGAAAACATCATTTTAACTGTATCCTTGAGGTAAATTTGGTAACCTTTCATTTAACCACTGTTCACATACTTCAAGAGGGGCAGTTTTAGCTTCTCCATGAAGAGTGCGAAAGACATTGTGTGTGTGTTGCAAAGGAAGGGGCAAGATATTAGCTCCTAGGTTCTTTTTCTGGCTTTAAAAGATCCAAAAAAATTCGAGTTAGAGGGAGTAAAATTCGAGTAATCGAGAATAATTAACATGAAATTAAAGATAAAAGGGTCGGGACCTCATAAAAAAATCTAGTTATAGTAATATTCGAGTTATTGTACTTCGAGTTATAGCGAAGTGACTGTATATACGTATACTCCAAAATATCAGAGTTACAGTGTTAAAAATATGTTGCTGTGTAACTATCCATAATTTCTTTATATTGTTCCAAAAGATAGGCTGTTGAGATACTCATTAATACTTAGTATTATGTATGTAAACTTAGAACAAGTTCTGCCTTGTATATCATCTGTAAATAAAAAAATTTTAATCTTTTTTAAAACTCTTTAATAAGATAAACATAAAAATAAACATACAGTTTCCACTGCAACAGGTTTTGGAGAATCAGCACTAATAATGGATATTGACAAGCCTTGTTTCTGAAAAAGTTAGAAATGGTTCAATTTTTGTACAAGAATTCCACAAAGAAATGAATTCATAGTAAAATAATACAATTTACAAGTACAACAAAATATCGTTTCTCTATATCATATAACAAAGCAGGAGAAAAATCAGGATGATAAGTGGTGCTAAACCATATCAGAATTTTAAATATTGCAATATTATTCAGAGATTATCAATATTTTAGAATATATCCAAACATTTTCAATACAACTAAATTTACATATTTTTTATATTAGATAATGTTTCCTTGCCCAGTTGAAAAAAAAAAATTTTTTNAAGCCTCATAGACAATAATGTAAAATAACCCTCTTTTACCCGTCATCGAATTTAACTCTACTCCGGATAATTCGTCACCCCAAAAAAATGGCAAACCTATCTTTTTTAATGGCAAACCTATCTGTTATCATTTCAGACCCGCCCCTTTCACTTTAAGTATCTCCGGGAATTTCGGACCACCCACGAAGTTCGCTCTACAGCTGTGAGCATTCCTTTCCTTTTAGGGGATTTGGATTCTTGGAATTTTGCATGCCAATCGTTCAAAGTTCTCACTTCTTGCTCTGACTCAGTCGAGTGTAGACGTTTTTCTTTATTGTACGTACTTCAGTGGGANATAAAAAGTGGTAACTATACAAAAGTATTTGTATTCCTTTTCTACACATTTATTTGCATGTGCATTATATTCTAAAAATCTAATTTTTCTCAACGAATCCTATTGCAGTCCATTAAAAAATTTCAATGTTATTTTAGTTTTTTTAAAGAAATTTCTAACTCCACTTAAGTCGTCACCCCGCTTAAGTCGTCGAAAATGTTCGGTACCTTGAGTGACGACTTAACGAGGTTTTACTGTATATCCAAACATTTTCAATACAACTAAATTTACATATTTTTTATATTAGATAATGTTTCCTTGCCCAGCTGGAAAAAAAAAAAGATTCTTTTCTAAAACAGTTTTAATAATCATGATTTTAAAAATAAATGAGTAATTCTGAAAGCTTAACAATATATAAATTAAAAGAGATTTTAAAAAAAACATAGTTTTTGATTTAATATACAAATAAAACTATAAATTTTTATGCATGAAATGAATATTATTTTTGAGTTAATCCTGATTACTTATCTATATCCAGAAAAACAAAAGAAAAATTACATAAGAAAAAATTATAAAAATAAATATTAATATTTTAGCGATGTGAGATTTTGAATTTATTCCAGTTACCTTGCCTTTACTATTTCTGCTCATAATTCAATCTTTTAAATAAATATTGTTTCTACAAAAAAACAAATTAAAATATGCTAATACATTGTATAATTCTAAATATTGTTTTATGTAATACGACAAAAATGCTTATTCAAAAAACAATAATTAAAAATTAAGAAAACATGGCATGCAAATGCAAAAAAAAAAAAAAACTAATTATTCTGCCTCTATTACTTTTATTATCTCACTGAAAAACCAATGTTTTTAGAATGAAAATTTTTATTTTATAGTTATCTCATTAATTACAAGCTTGCATATAACTCTTAACTTATCTTGCTATGAAATTTAAATATCTATTGTCGAAAGTTGGAATATATTTTATAGTATAAATTATATACTATATATAGTATATATACTTTTATAAATATATTATAGAATATTTTATAGTAAATATTAGTTTTTATTCAGGCTGGATTAAGGAAGGGTTGCGGCCCCACACATTTTTAGGAAATAAAACTGATTTTTGATTTTTTTTACATTCATTACATTAACTACATTCCATATTTCCAGTAAAATTTTACAACCAGAAAACGGAGATTTGGTCATGTTAGTTTAATGCATAGTCTGTCGACGTTTTAAGTAAATTTTATATCACTAAACTAAAAAAATCATTAATATGCCCTCTCCTAACATTTTAATGACTATCATATTCTGCTTCAGGTTACATGAAAACAAATGTAATGAAAAGAAAAGCTATGGTGTCAGATGCAAAAATAATTATTAATTTTCAATAAAAAAAAAATTTTAAATCAAAATAGACTATACAAATGAGATTTAGAAACCTGCTTTTAAACAGAAGAAAAAATTTTATTATGCTAAATTTTAGAGGTACAATACAATTAATTACATATTTGAAGTAGAACATTAAAAGTACATCTTGTGACTTTTTTTGTAAACCAAAATGTCAAATATTTCTACACATTTGTGTAAAATAACTGGTTTTGATACAGTTTACTTTAATTAATACTTATTCCATTTTCTATTATTAGAGTGAATTTTTTAAAAGAACTGTACTCGTTAGAGATTCACTTAATGTGATTAAAAATTACAAATGATGTAGCCCTTCGTTTAACAGCCTATAGCCAATTGAAAACTGAAATTAATAAGTTGAAAATTAATATTTCTAAAAAATTTCAGTTTTTGACCTTGAAAACAATGCAGTTTGTTTAAAAATATTAAATTTAANCCCGAAGCATGCAGGTTCCTCATTGAAAACTGAAATTAATAAGTTGAAAATTAATATTTCTAAAAAATTTCAGTTTTTTACCTTGAAAACAATGCAGTTTGTTTAAAAATATTAAATTTAAAATTTTAGTCATTTGGTTGACCATATCATGGAATTGACCATGCATAAAATTTAGTTATGAACAGATCATAGACAGTTAGTAGAGAGTTTTCGATATAAGAGTTTAGGTGAATATTCCTTAAACATAGTTTTTACTATTGTGAATAAATATTTGCAAATCTTAGTTTATGGAAATTTAACATTATCGGTATTTTATTTTTTAATTGAATAGCAAAAAATAAAACAGAAAATTACATTATAAGTGCTAAAAAGTTAACAAATTTAACAACAAATAAACATAAAAAGTAGTAACTTTACACAATGTCTGTAGAAAGCACGAAAAATTAAATGCAATGTGTTTACATATAATTCAATAAAAAACTGTAAAATGGAATACCTGAATTTGCTTTAATGTTTCAGCAGTTGATCTCGGCATATTGAAATTTGAGGTAGGTTAGTTCAAAAAAATTTTTCAAAAGGGAAACATTTTGTTTTACACTCTAAAAAAATAAACGTAAATATATTTATTAATACGCTATTATAAACTTATCTAAATTTCAAACTTTTTAAACACTCTATAAAAGATCGTTGAGTATCTACTGTTCGAACTAATTGGATGGTGTTTTTCTACAAAAAAGAATGCTATCGTCTCCTCCTTAAGCAAGTTTTACAGCAACTAAATTTATAGTCTTCAGGTTTTGATTGTAGCAACCTTTCTACGATTTTTAAGAATTAATGCCAAAGCATGCCCATTAAGACATCAAATACAATGCTGACAAAAACAGATATTGGACAGTCAGGCCAACTGAAATAAAAGTTTTTTAGTCTAAATATAGCTACAATATTTTGTTTTTTAAAAGTAACATCAAAATTATTAGAAAAGATATATTTTTGATATTAAAAATCTTATAATCATATGACCCATAGCAAACTGAAGTTAATTTCTGAATTCTATTTTCTTTGTTCACAATATACCAGCTGTCAAAAAATATTCTCCTTTAAATTAAGGTTAAATGAATTGGAATTTGCTAATTAAATAGAAATATGGGATTATATTCAAATGGTTGCATTGAAAACACCATCCATTGGCATAACAATAAAAAATATATATCATCATTGCTTAGCTTTTTAACTATAGCACTGAATTTTTTAATGAATTAATTAAAAGCCAATTATGATGCTGAAGTAGTTTCAAGAATCTTAACGAAAATGAATCACAAGAAATACAAAAGTTATATGTAATATAAAGATATTTACAATAAAAAATTCATTTATGTTACTTTATTCACATTTTGCTTTACATCGCACAAAGTATAGCCCTATGAGAAGTTTGACATTTAACTCCTACAAAATAATCTCAGAAATGTAACCAGTTTAGTACACAATGTAATTAGGATTATTGATTATACTTTAAAATACAATGCTATGAGCTCGTTTTGCACTCTATACAACTTCAGATATAGAGTCAGAAGGTTTTTGTGACATATGATAACTTTTGAGAATTTTTCATTTTAAAAATTATAAATTTTTGTAATCATTTGAACAGTACAATTTACATCTTAAAACCACTTTTCTGCATTGTTTTTGTTGTTTACTGATAAGCAAATGTTATCAATATGTTTATATTTAAAATTATGAAGTAAAAATCAGCAATTTTTTTTTCTTTGTTAACCAGTGACAACACAGTATTACACACAGCTACAAAAAAAAAATTCCTCACAATAATTATTTAATCAAAAAAAATACATAATTTAATTTAGAAATATGTGGTCTAATAAATCAGAATATATAACTTTTTGATTAACTTCTCATTGTAAGCATTTCATAAATAGATAAGCATTTGCTGCACTTTTAATGTGTATTCATAAATATTATTGATTCTACAATAAGTTTAGACACAATAGCATATCCTAAATCCTAGGGATATTTTTTTTTTTTTAATTACTTGCAACTTTTTAGCTAAGGCTTCAAGGGGTGGGAAAGTAAGGAAGTTTCTTAAAAAAAACTTTTCCGACTTATTTTTAACAATTCTAACGTACTACATAAAAAAATTTGGTAAATTGTAGAACATACTGGCTGGTGTGATTATTTGTAAATGTTATCTTTAGCAAAGTATTAGCTTCAAATACACATGAAATCGAATTGATAACTAATTACCAACTTCTCATTTAGCTTTCGGTAAAAGCTATAATTATTAAAAATAGAATTTTGATTAATTTCAAGTGTTTGTTACTAAAATAATCATCTCAAAACACCTAACAGATTGGTGACAGTACAATAGTGAAGGGATATGATCTGTAACGCCATTAATCTAACGTTATACTCTTCATAAAATAATAAGGCAATAATAGAATGCACTGATTAAACTACAACAATTCATCATAACACAAGTACAGATATTTTGTCCACTAAGAAGTCAATTAAAATGTAGGTGTCAGATCATTATTTATCATCACAAAATTCTAAGAACTCTAATCACTACAATAATTATAGAAAAACGTAAAGCATAAAATATTGAGATAACATTAAGCTGTTATTTTTTTTTCTAAACAAAAGCGAACCTTGATAAAACTAAAATGAATTTTATACTTGTTTACGTAGAACATCCAATGAATTCAGATTAAACTTTATGAAAAATAGGAGACATAAAATCCAAAGCTTAAAATTCAGAAGATAACATTTTATTTATTATGTTGATAGATACATGAGCAATGATAATCTATATTTTTAGTATTATTTATCATCTTAACACCGCGTATCCGAAACGCTTCGAAATGTGATTATAGCCCAGCCATTTTAAATCAATGTATTGTTGCCAATATGTGAAAAAATTAACAAAATAAAGAAAAATTAATTAAAACCAACCCTGACAATACGAATTTCACATTAATAGAATTTAAAATTAGATCATAAAAAATAAAACAATTAACTTTTTCTGAGTTGATAGAACGCACTAGATTTTCAGTAAAATTTTGTTAAGATTTGATGAAGATTTCAGCAGCGCCCTCTATAGTTTATATCAATTTCAAATTTGCACATCCTTAGAAAAATTAATTTAATAATTTATAATCATTTTAATTCGTTTATTACAGAATGCTTCTTTAAATTTTTTTAAATCCCTAAGAAAAACAGTTCTTTAAATATAAAGAATTATATACTTGGCGCAACTGTCGCTGAGGCTAGGCCAGTTTGAAAATATCAAAATATCGAGATTCGTAAAGCTTATGTATGTGAGTAAATAAAGATATTTTTTATATTAATGTATTGTTAAATCAAAAATATTTCGTTATTAAATGTTTTTAGAATTTTATAAAAACTTATTATATATTAATCTTGCTGTAATTGGTTATATTATTCAATAATATATAAAATTCAACGAAATTATCCACTGAATATCCAATTAAGCCTAAATATTAGATATACATCACAAGCGCTTTATTATGAAATTAAATTTGATTTTTTAAAGTTTTTATGAAATGTTAATATTTTCTGTTACATAGTAAGGGGTATATAAAGTTTAATTTGCATGTGTTAACTCCAGAATTGTGCTTGAAAAAAAAATTTTTAAACCTCTGAAAGTCTATACGTTATAAAATGGCGATATTTAAAATTATTAAAAATATGGATTGTTATTTAAACCATGCTTGAATAGTCTAAATATTTTAAGAATTTTAGAATTTTTTAACTTTAATAGGAAAAATTTGTGATATTCCTCTTATGTTTAAATTAATAAAATCTGTTAATCTTGTTTTTGCTTCTTGGCGACATTTGGCGCTGAAATTTGGCATTGTATTTTAACCATTGCTGAAGAGTCTGTACTTGAAATGTCCGACTCCTTTTAATTCTGTAATAAAATTTTAGCAGGGAGCCAAACCCTAAGAAGGAATATTATTGCTAAATTAGTTTAATTTAAAATTATAAAAATCAATTTTTTTGTATTCTTAGAATTGAGGAATTTTAATTAAAGAAATACTTGTTAAAGTGTAATTGAACAGTTGAGTTTAACAAGTATATTTGCACAAAATATTAAAACGTTTCAAATATCTATAATGCAAGAAATCTTATTGCAAGAAGATTAAGTGAATATATTCATAAACTTTGAAACTTTTGAAAATGATGCATATAATTCCCTTGTTGAAAATTAATAACTTCGCTGAATAAATTAGGTTTTTTAAATTAATGAAACAAGGTAAATATTTTTGTTATAAAATATATAATTGAAAGGAAGGATTTGTAAATATATGTGTACAGAGAAACAAATTTATTTTTAACATTATTTCAAAAGTTTTATAAATATTTCATTAGAATTAAATGTGAATCAGGATACATATTTTTGTAAGTCAAAAATTATTTGGCTATTAAAACATGTTGAACTGTGTTAAGAAAAAGTGCAACTAATTTCTTATATATATTATATGAATTTATTATTAAAAAAAACTGTAAATCAGCTTATTCGTATGAAGTTCATGCTAACATGAAATGAAAACAGAGTTAGAATATCTTTTAAAAAATCTTTTTTTTTTCTGGACAAGAAGAAACTATTAACAAAATTGAATGTGAAATATGTGTGTATAATGGTGGCTATTATAAGAAAAATTAAAACAAATGAAATTTATTGCAGTACAAAGAAAGTTTCCACAAATTTCTTTAAAAAAAAAAAAAACTTATCCCAAAAAATAGCATTTATTTTGAATATAGATTTATGTTTATTTTTCTAAATATGTAGATTTAAATCTAGGTAAATTATATGCACTTACAATATTTATAGTTTACTAAATATTCTGGTTAAAGATAAAATTATCTAAAAATGGAGGAAATTTTTTTTAAAATATTAATAAAAACAAATTTAAATTGCGTTAAAATTTTTCTCCGATAGTTAAATTTTTATTGTAATATAAATTAATGTATTTCTTATGTAATTTTTGTTATTTTATTTCAAATTGATTTTTCTTAATATGAACTAATTCTTTACCCTTAACTTATAATATTAATAAATCCTAAATACTCTAATACTATCAAATTGTGATTAAAAAAAAATACTTAGCTGTAACATGTGACACTATTGAAGTTACTATTAATAACTAATACAGTTATTAGAATAAATTTTATAGTTAGATGTTATGTGATAATGGCTTTATTGTGTCTACTTTCTACGCTATGCAGCTCAGTATCAGTCAATGTAGTTTCGAGTTCTAGCCTTATTCGTACTAAACTGAAAAATGTACATTGAGTACAAAAGGCTTCAAAGCTTTTTTTTGTGTGTGTGTGTGTGTGTTTCCTAACTTAGGATTACTTAATTATAGGAAAAGGAGGATTTAAAATGAGAATAAATTAAAATTGATTTCATATATGATGAATAAAATGATTAAGTATTTTTTTTTTTTTCATCAGGCTGATTGCTTTTGTATTTTTATTTTCAATAATTTAACAAATTAATAGATTGAGTCAATTTCAATTTTACATGTTTTTATTTATAATTATTTAATATTTTCTACGCCAAAATTTAAGTTTTGGGTGGTAATTATCAGAACAAAAAGAGCTTAGTATCAAAATAATTTAGGAACCTAATTGATTGATCACTTGTAATTTTATGTTTATTTGAAAATACTTCTTATTTATAACAGCTAATAATTATCCTTACACCAAAATTTTGGGGTTTTGACTTGATGAATGAAACCATGATTAAAACCGAATAAAACTGTCTGTTGTCAAAAACTTGCCAACCCTGAACTATACTCAATTAAGTTTCCTCTTCAAATATATACAGTCGGACCCCGATTTAACGAATTCATCGGGACCGGAAATTTTATTCGTTAAATCGGGGTCATTCGTAAAATCGGAGTTCAAAAAAAATTGTTTTTTTGTACATATGTATTATTAAAAATTGTTTGTTATAAACGACTATCAAAGATTAGAAAGGAATTTCCTGTTTGACTCATAGCCCACGTGACAAACTAAAAAATGACCTTGCAAGTGTAATATGTCTTATTAACTCAACCCACCTCCCCAAGACGAATTTTGTTTTTCCCTGTTGCGGTCTTTTCTTTTGTTTGAGACGAATATGCACTTTTTCTATTTTATTCCTCCCAGGAAAGATTTTTTTCCCTTTAGAATCTGCCAATTACAAAAAAANTCAATTTCAATAATCGAAACTTTACTTGGATTTATGAAAATCCGAGTAAAATTTTGATTATTATTGTATAAAAAAATTTTCATTTAACTATTAATTTTATGTGGGTTTTTTTAAATCCCGATAAATCTAAATGTTTTTTTTTATAAAGGCCATTATTGCCATGCTTTTCCATATAATTTTTAAAATCTTTATTTTTACTATGAATTGCACATCTAATAATTTGTTTTTGTCGTATGTCTAGGTTATTTTTCAATCATTTTTTCAGCAGTTACTGGGGGGAAACGCCAATTTTTAAACTGTTCACAGTTTGCAGTTTATTTTGTTTTAAATTTTTTGTAGCTTATGTGATTTTATTTAGTGAAACCTAAAAAGAAAAATTTTCCAATTTAAAATTCATAAAATTTAATGCCTAATAAATATTTAATCTTATTTCATACTAAAATGGAACAATACGGCTTAAAGAAAAACCAAAAATTAAAACAAACTTGTTTTAATTTTTGGTTTTTCTTTAAGCCGTATTGTTAAATAAGCATGTGTTTTTTTTTTTTCACACTTTCATTCTGTGAGCATTATTTTTTATTAATATTTTGTTAGAATTCATATTTTTCCCCCTCAATATATATACACTCTATAACAAAAAAATTGATGCACCAAGAAGGAGTTGTCCGACTGAAACGAAAATTGGTGGATAGGAAGACAATGTACAAAATAGTAAATGATTAAAATTTCAGAACAATTGAATAATTTATTGCAGAGTTACAGTAACAGGTTCATTAAGGTGTTGACCCTCCTCTAACCTATATACAAGCTGCGGCACGGCGTGGCATAGACCGATAAAGCTCCCGGATGGTCTCTTGCGGTATTTCCTGCCAAATTTGATCCAATTGTCGAACGAGGCCATCAACATTCCGTGCCAAATGCAATCACCTTCCCATCATATCCCAGACATGCTCGATGGGAGAGAGATCTGGTGATCTGGCAGGCCAGGAAAGAGTTTGACAAGCTTGCAGACAGTTCATAGCAACACGTGCCGTATGCGGTCTTGTATTGTTCTGCTGGAAAACCAGCCCAGTGCGCGGTAGCAAAACGGGTCTTAGGATGTCGTCGCCGTACCGCTATGCAGTAAGTGTACCTCTAATGACGACCAAAGGGGTCCAGCTGTCAAAGGAAATGGCACCCCAGACCATAATGCCTTGTTGAGGGCTGGTGTGGCGTGCAATAGTGAAGGCAGGAGCCCCCCTCTGCCCTGTGCGTCTCCAAACACGTCTTCGATGATCGTCAGGACACAGTTGGAAGCAAGATTCGTCGCTAAAGACTATACGTCCCCAGTCGGCATCATTCCTGCCATATCTGTTCAAAACATTCATGCACACGAAATTTCAAAGCAATCGGATGATTGCTTCTTTGTGCGTCGAATTTTTTGTTATAGAGTGTGTGTGTATATATGTGTGTGTGTGTGGAAAGAAGTTTTTAGAAAAGGTATCAGTTTTTTTTCTTCCATTTTTAAATGAATTTTAATAATTAAACGCTTTAATTTTGTGCTTAGAACATTGAAGTCTATTTGAAAATTATCATATTTGCCACCAACATGACTAAATGTGCATGTTTGCCCTTAGTTGGTCACGCTACTGTGCAAGTGACCCCTCACTCAAAAAGGTTGTACACCCCTAAGGCAGGCCACACACTAAGGAGGCAAGTGATAAGTAAAAACATATGAGAAGCAGATCTGCATACATTAGCATGAGTGCGTCACCTCTGTGTTTCCTCTTGCTTGATTCATCATTGTGTAACCTACCTAACTCAGGAGGTGTACTCAATTGTTTATCAACCCCTTCTCAGATTTTATAATTCCTTTTTGATTGCTTTGTTTCCTTATTAAATACTAATCAGTGATTCTGCTAGGCTTTGAAAACTATAGTGATAGTGATTAGGCTGAGGACGAATAGTGATTAGGCTGAATACTGAATATAACAACAGCATTTTATATAAAAAAAATTAAAAAATCATTAATAAAAGCTTTATATAGATATAAGTTTAGTCATTATTGAAAAATAAACAAAACTTAGCTGTATTTATCATAGGGTAAAGGAAAAAAGAAACTTTAATAGAAATGTTTAAGATGATAAAGATAATTAGAAATATCTAAGATAAAAAACTAACAGCTATTAAAGCAAAAAAAGAAAACTTAAATGCGAAAAATATTTTCCAGAAAAGAAACTATCTATAAAACATAAAAAGTCATAATATCTATCAGAAATGCTTTTAAAAATGCAGTGCTTTCATAAAAATGCCTATTTGAAGAAAAAAAAATTATATACAAAAGCAAAACAGAAAACAAAAATTTATCTTAATTTTTTAATGAAAATTTCACGCTAAACATTTGTTTGTTTTTTTAACTACCATATTTTCAAGAAAAGGTGAAGATTAAAGTCTAATAGAAACTCTCTTAACTGAAGTGTCATAATAAAAATATAAGTTTTTCAAAAAAGAAATCTAGATAAAAACCAAAACAAGAAATTTTCTTAATTTTGAAGCAAAAAATTTAACACTGAAATTCTCAATTTAACTTTTTCACATTGCGTTATCTATAGAAAAAAAGTTACCATGAAATAATAATTTTCATTATAAACGCTCTTTAAAAAATGCTGCCATGATAAAAAGCTGATAAAAGGAAACTTATTAAAAAAGGAGAGAGGGAGAAAAATAAAAAGCAGAAAAATATTATTCTTAGTTCTTTAACATTGAGAATCACAGTTTTCTATGTTACCAGTTATCTGTCTTAACATACAAGAAAAAAGTGTTAATAAAATAATAAAGTCTATTAGAAACTCTCCGTTAACATGCTATGCTATAGTTAAAAAAGAAATATAAGAACTAGGAAATAAATAGCTTGTTAATGAACCATGAGTTTCGTAAAAGTCATGGTTCAGTGTAAAGTAATCTAATTTTAATTCTTCAAATTTTGCTTTTTCCATGTGTCTTTCAGAACATAAATTAACAAATATGTGTAAAAACTGTTTCTAATAATGTATAGTAATAAATTTGATTTTTTATTTCTTCATTAAATCTATTAAAATTTGTCTAAAAATAATTTTCCAAATAATACTTTGTCGAATTTTTGTCTAAAAGGCTAAACAGCCAAAAATAGCCTAATATCCGTTACATCCTTAATTTTTAAGATAAAAAGAGCTGCAAATCTGGAGATACTAGAATATTTCATGCTTCTAAGCTCTAGATTTGCAGTTTTAATTGTATGTTGATATTGAAAAAATTATAATTTTGTAAATTGCCTGTTTGTGTTTGATTCTTAAATTATGACTGAGACTTGAAACTATTCATTCAACTATTCAAGACAACTATTCATTAAATCTATTTTAAAAAAATGAGATAAGATTCTATAGATAAAGCATACTAATAATCTGTAATGTTTTTAGTGTTTCGTTATTTATTATAGCTAAAAAAAAATATTGAATTCTGATAATTTAATTCAAATTGTTAATATTTCAGATAGCTCCTAGGAGGTCTGGCCGAGCAGTTACAACAAAACAGGAAACTACTTCGGTAAAAGATGCTTCAAGGTCTCGGCGTAGCTCTACGGCTGCACAAACTGTTGCATCTGTTGCAGATTCTAAATCTCCTAGAGTAAGGAGTAACAGGAGAGAAAGCTCTTCACCATCAGACTCTCGTTCTAGAAGTGGCTTAGAATCTCCTGCCACTAGAGTCAAATCAACTAGGCGTAGCACAGGACGCATTAACTACAAAGAAAGTGATGGAGAAGAAGAAACCCCAACGCCAAAGTATGACGAGAATTTTGAGAGCGGAGAAGAATTTGAAGAAACTGATTCTGATGAAAAATCAAAACCTCGGGGAAAGGGCAAACAAACTAAAGTATCTCCGAAGCTGCAGGAATCACTAAAGACTGAGAGGGGAACTCGTGGTCGTCGAGGCCGGCCAAGTAAGAAAAAAGCTGAAGAGGTTAAAACACTTGAATTATCTGATGATAGCATGGAGCCTGAAATTGTTGAAACTAAACCAGCTAAACCGGAAATAAAAGAATCTACTCGAACTAGTCGTGGAAGAAAATCTAAAACTGAGGTTGTTGATGTGGAATCTGAAGCTAAACCAAAACCATCAAGAAGAAGTGCAAGATCCTCATCAAATAAGGAAGAAACACCCAAGAAAAGACCTTCTCGAAGCATTCAAGCGAAACGATACACGGAAGATGATGAGGAAGATATTGAAGAAATTGGTGGTTCTAAAGCTGAAGAAGAAATTGATGATAAAGTTGATGGTACACGAAAGCGTAAAAGAGAATCCTCTCCAGAAGAAACTAACAAACGAGTGAAGGAAGATGAGAATGAAACAACAGAAAAGAATATAGAAGAAGAGAAAGATACAGAAGAACCTGTTGAAGAAAAAATTGTTTCAGAAAAGCAAGCTGAAGAACCTATGGAAGTTGAAGAATGTGATTCTGGTATTGTTTCCCAAGATGACTCTAAAAGTCAAGAAAAAGAGGACATATCTGTTTCTGCGGATGATAAAATAACTCTTGATAGTAAAAAAGAAATTGAAAATGTATCAGAAATAAAGGATGTTACAGATAACAAAGATTCATCTTGCTTAGAGAAAACTGCTGAAATTTCAACTTCTGAAACCAAACAAGAAATTGAATCGTCTACTGCCCGTGATTCAAAACAATCTGAGGAAATAAAGGAGGATGTTAAGGATAATATTCCTAATCAAGTTATTCCAGAGAAGGAATGTGAAAATCAAACTGCTGCTACTATCAACGACCAAGCGTCAGATAAACCACAGCCAATGGACTCTACATCTGAGTCAGAACAATTGCCTGTTTCTAACAAAGTTCCAGAAATTAACTCAGAATCTTCAAAATTAGACACAGAAAAAGAAGATTTAAAAAACACTGAAACTCATGCCAATGACATTTCTGAGTCCAAAAATTGTGAATCTAAGATTGAATCATCTGTTATAAATGTGGCAACTGAAAACATAGTTCCTGCAGCAAATGCTCATTCTGTAACTGATAACTCAGATTCTTCTTTAAATGGGACAGAAAATCTTAGTAACTCTGTTAATCCGATTTCTGTCTCAGAAGTTCCCAGCATTAATGTAGAACAATCTGACAGTGTTGTTCCAAAAGCAAATGGTGCACATGATGTGCATGAAAGCACAAATTCAATTCAAGGGCAATGTATTTTGCCTGGACGTAAATATACTTTAAACTCGAAATTAAGCGAAAATATTCGTCAATCTGTAAAAAATAAAGCATTTGGATTTTTATCATACAATTTAGGGTCCGAGTATAATGTACAAAAAGAAAAACTCCTGCATGAACTTCATCAACTCAATTCACAAATTATTTGCTTACAGCAAGTCCCTAAACCTTTTTATTCATCTGTTTTAGAGCCTAGTCTGGATGCTCTTGGTTACAAGGGTGTTTTCTGTCAACCTGAAGATAGTTTAAGAGGAATGGCCACATTTTTCAAAACATCACAATTTCGACTTAATGAACAAGCTGAGATTTCTTTAAGACAACTTGTTGACAAAGTAAGTTGATTATTAGTATTATTCATTAATAAAATATCCTGGCATCAACAATAATTTCAAATAGATCATATTTAATGGGGAAATATTAATCGAGAAAAATAAATTTTTACCGGAAAAGATACTGAAATATCTATCATCTATAGTGATTTTGCTTACATGCTATAATGCGAAATATAAGTTATAACTCATCCTCTGGGATATGTAATTCGCCAGCAAAAAAAATAAAAAACCCTAACCAGCCTGCAGATCTTTATGTAGGCAAAATCAAAACCAAATTTTAAATAATAAATATGTACATATATAATAAATGTATACATAAATAAATTACTTTTTTCGTTATTATTAACTAAAGGAGAAAATTAAAATTATTCTTAGTACCAAACCACGTTGTTGCTTTTCCTTGGTGCAGATGTTTGATCAGTCCGCAAGCAGTCCTAATTAAAAGCCTTGATAGTTCAAATATTTCTCTTCTTTATTTTGTCTATCGATAAATAAATTAATATTATGAAAGTGAGCATTAATGAATGGATAAAGTTTTAACCTCTTTATCCATTCATTATTTGAATTGGGACCTACTTTTAATAAAAAGGGGATCCAAAAATATTAAAGTCCTATTCCTAGAACCATAGGTATGCAAGTCTAGCTGGATCACTGAATAAATCTTTCCATTTTCTTTAATTACCGGATTTCTTTAATAAATCTGCTTGATTTATTCATATTTTGGGAAATCTTTTGTTCAAATAAAAGTTCTTAAATGCGTATTTAATGTTGTTTAAATGCTTTAGGAATTGGAAACATCTGCATTGGAACCCTCCAGTAAAGCTGCTGTAAAATCATACATCAAACGTTGTGGCAATGCTCTTCTAACTCACTTTGCTTCTGTCATTGGAACTCAAACAGTGAATGTTCTTAATGTACAGATTCCACCATCGGATCTTAGTGCTCATGCTTTACAGGTAATTTTTATACTACTATATTATAGGCTTTAGCAATAATATTAGACCATGTATAATTTATTCATTTAAAAATTGTTTCTTAATTTAACTAGGTATTTCTGGTAAAGTTCTGTTTTTCACAGAATGAAGTTTTTTCAAAAAAATGAAATCTCCCTTCATGGTTTTAAATTCATATAATTTTAAGCTTCCAGATTTTTTCCCCTTTTTTTTAAATAATCAGAAGAAAAAATTCTTTTTATTTTTTTAAAAAAATCTATAGATTGTGCCAAATGTATGCCTTACTGTTCTCCATGTAAAATTATTTAAAAGGTATAGTCATCTTTGTCTCATTATTTAGAGAATATTGTTCAACAACGGTAGATATTTTTTTGAATTTAAAATAATTTGTGGACGAGACACAAGAAATATTGTGTTTGACCTTAGTTTGTTCTTTAATCTACTTTCAATGTTTTTGTACAGAAGATCAGATTTTAATAAAATCAGACATCCAAACTCCTTTTAAAAGGAATATTTAAATGAAATTAAAAAGTTATCTTTTTTTATAGAAAACAAAATTTAATGTAATGAATTTGTTAAAAACCAATGTAATACAAAATTCCTATTTTTATATTAAAATATATATTTATTTAGGTGTCTTCATTGGCTAGAGAAGTCATTAGAATCAATGGTGGAACTAACAAACCTCTCTTAATTGGAGGAGAATTTAACATATCTGAAAATGATGCATCCTATCAACTACTTAGGGATGGATATCTCAGCAATGACATGATTGATGAGCTTCAACGAAGAAAAGATATTGCTGTACCTGAAAAAGAAGTATGTTATATTTATTGTATTGAATATAGTATGGGCTGCAGTCGATAAAAAAAAAAAATTTTAAATAACAATCTGTATTTTAGATTATTTTAAAATCAATCAATATTGTAAAAAAATTAAATATCACCTTACTTTTATTTATATATATTTTTTTTCTTCTAGAATTCTTCGTTGGTTGATTTACTTTGGAAGTCTTTCCAACACCCGTCCTCAAGTTTGTGTAGCTGCTATTCATCTGTGTTGGTAAGACATCTCAAATTTATTTTCGTTAAATGTAAACTAGACTTTTAAACATGATTACAAAGAAAAATAAAATGCTGAAGTGCATAATAAAGAAGTTTATATTATCAATTGATAGTTATTTTCAACAAAAATTTTATATGTGATGTTTTTAATTGTAAATATTTGATAAAAGATTATCAATGTATAAAACAAGCTAATGTTAAAAACTTTTCATGTATGATAGTTATTTCTTTGTTGATTTATAAATCTGAAATTATTTTCTTAAGAATTGCATTTGAATAATTTTAACTTTCTTTTATAGATAAAAAACCACAAATTTTATTTGAATTGAAATAATATTCAAAAGTTACCGAATTAAAAATTATTATTATTTTTTTTTTTTTATATATTTTGAGACTAAAACTATATAATTGAATCTTTTCCCCTTAGGGTCATGAGCTGCTTATTCCAGAACTTAAAAGAACATCATCTGACCTGTTGTGGTACAGCTCTGATAGTCTACACACTGTTGGCATTGTTGATGTCGATTCAAATAAACTTGGTGATCGTCATTTCTCTTTGAAAGCTGATGTGGCTTTTTCAATTTGAAAAATATGTTCATTGTCTCTGTTTTACTAAAAAAAATGAAAACATGTAATGCTATTGTTCTTTTTTTTCTTTTGAAATATATATATATATATATATATATATTAAATTTGTAGTTTTTTGAAAACCTTTTATAAAATGTAAATGGAACCCTATCATGTTTATGTTGAACTCGCCATTATCTATCATGTTTTTAGAGGAAGTTGGATTTAAAATTGGCCATGACGAAGCCACAATTGTCAAAGGAAAAGCCATCTACATTATGAAAATTTTTTAATCATAATTGTACTTGGTGTTATCTTGACTAATTTGCAAAAAATGAAATGTTTTATTGTTGACAACAATTTTGGTATTTCTTGTGCCATTTCTTTACCACATTTCTTTATGTGTTTACTTGTTAAACCAACTTTTTAATTCCTTCGATATGCATCCTTCTCTATCGCAGCATTTTGGCATTAATCATATGAACATATGTCATACCTGTAATCTGTGCATTTTGTGAATTGTCTTTTTCTAGTTATAGTTATGAATACACATTTAGGTATAGCGCATGTGCATTAAAAATGTAAATTTACTAAAGGTTGCATAATTTTTCGAGCACTCTGAAGTGAAGTGTTCGGATTTTAAAATGAATTACAATACAAATACACATACATACCATTGTTTCTGCATATACATCTTACTATTTTAGATATAATACATCTTCAAATCTTTTATGTGAATGTCAGTGACATGGGGAAAAGGTATATCGAAATGAATTTGAGTTTGTATATAATACAGAAATTTGTTTTATGCATTTTTATGTTTGGATGAAATAATCAAATGTTTTGTTATTTAATAATTTCAATATTTTTAACACTTTTCTTAGAAAAATTTAAATAATTGACCTTTTTCTTTTCATATAAAGAAAACAAGTAATTGCACAACTTTTCATTATCAATTCATTTTAAAAAAGCATTAAAATTGTTAGTATTTTTAACTTTTTTTGTAAAGAGCAGATATGTGTTGCAATTACCAATTAATATTTTTTTTTCGACTTCATAATGTTTCTATTAATTGTTGTGCTATACCTTATGCAGCAAGATTGTGAATACTTACAGAAATGTATATATGCTTGTCAAATAATTTTAGTTTGTCATTATTGATATGAGTTTAAAACCTCATTGATTGGATTGCAATTTCTCTTTGCCTTTAAATATTAACTATGTTTCTTGATACTTTTGATTTTAATATTTGCTCTGTTACTGTGCTTCTACATTATATTAGTGTTGTGGCTATGTATATATTTTTATTGAAATGCTTATGAGTTACTTACTCTGATATAATTGTTTAAAATGTTTTATTTGGTTTAAAATAATTCTCTTATCAATAGCTTTTATTTTTAAAAAAAAATTATTTTATATTGGCTAACTCATGATTTTGTTACATAGTTATCAGATTTAAATCGTGTATGAGTCAAAATTCCTGTTGTGTAACAGGAAGAAGGAAACTATGCATTAAATAAGTTTTTATCTCTTTGATCATGGGTTAAAACATTTTTTCAAAAACACAAATTTTCTAATAATGATGAGCGCTGAATTTTTTGTTAAATAACATCTAGAGAAATATTAATTAAAGTGAACCATAAATTTGTAGTAGTGTTTAGAATAGTTCATACTTTTAATAAAAAATATAAAAATTGTTACATTTTAAAAAATAATATTGGAAGAAAATGATTTTTTAGTGAAAGAACAAACCCATTTTAATTCATAAATCCTATTTTATGCATAGAATTTCGAAAAAAATATTTACTTCAAATTCTTTTTCTTTTGTTATTCTTTATTAATGTTATAGCTACGAAGTTTTTCTCTGTTATTCTTTACATTTTTATTTCCATCTTTCATTGCAAAATATTTAGTTGGGGATTTAAAATTTTATTTGTCTAATAGATACAGATGTAACTTAAATGTTTCCTGTTAATTTTATTTTGTAGAAATTTTACACTCAAATTATAAACGAAGTGTTTCAAAAGCATTAAAGATGTGAAACTAAATGTATGTATGTGTGTTCATTTGTTTCTAATCTCCTGTTATGCATTAAAATTTAAATGTCGTTACTCTGGTCATCCAATTGTGCATGCTATAAAAGGAACCGGATGTTTAATTTTATCTGAAACCTTCATTTAAAAAAATGCTCCTATAGTTAAAGTTAAAAGCATACAAACTTTACATAATATGCATAGATAGTACTTGTAATTATTCCCACAAAGCATTTTAGGTTATTTTATTAAATTGTATAAAAAGACTAAGCTAAACTAATTAATAATCTCTTCAAAAAAAATTTTATTTTGGTACAAATTTAATTTTTTGAAAAGTGCATTTTATTACTTTTAAAATTTGTTAAGCTAATTAGTTTTTGCGATATTTATATCTCATGTCTTAAAAGTTTGCCAGTATTAACTTATTTATTTTTCTTTTGTAATTTTAAATAGCTTTTTGTGTTGTCATGGGTCTGTCAAGGTTTTTCTGAGAGGTACCTATTTTGCAAAAATTTAGACATAATTTGTGAAAATTAACAATTATATAAAAAAAGGCAACACAAAAATATGGATTTATCGTTTCTTACGNGCGTAAGTGTGAGAGAACGACTTTCCCTCCTTTCAGATCATGATACGTACTGTTTGATTTTAGGATTTTATGTATGTTCGGCTGATTTTAGGAATTTTAAATATTGGGAATTGCGCCAGATTCTGACAAAATCTCTATTCTTATTCAGGCGATTTTAATATCAATCATCGATCTTTGTATTAATCTGATTTAAAAGTTATGTGTTGCGATTCGTTACGGGTGATTCAAAAATTGTACTCGCAATTCCCATTAAAGCAATTTAAAAATCAATATCGCGATTTTTACTTAAGCATTTTTAAACCCCAATGTCGTGATTAGTTTCCACCAATGTCGCTATTCGTGTTCACGCATTTTGCAATATCAAACATCGATGTTGTAATATCAAACATCGATTTCGTATTTAAACCCGATTTGAAAACTACTCGTTGCGATTCGTATTCACGTGACCATGTCAAGTGCGTATGATCGATGCTACTAAAAAAAAATTTATTCAAGTGTGAGTGGCTAATTAAAACAGTTAAAGTGACCTAAATTGTTTGTAAGAATTTATCAGAAGATATTGAGGTGAAAGTTGGCAACTGTTTCAATTTAAAATCGTTGACCTGTAATAAATTTAAAATGATAATTAAGCCGCAACATCCAATAATTGATTAGTTTTCTTAAATAGAAAAGTGGTCAATATTTCAAAATTATATTTAAGAACAATTTAAATTTCACTGTCTAAATGCTTCTGCCACTTTAAATATTAAATAAAAATCTCTTGGCAGAGTTGTTTTTAAATATCTAATTGATATCACAGTATTATATAGAACATCCCCCTCCCCCGTCCTCTGCCCGAATCTTTGCTTATTCAGAGGTTGTATACCTAGCTTAAAATAGGCCTTATGCAAAATTCAAATCCAACGTTTTTATGCATCATGAATTTTATTCTTGACTTGATGCCAATCACCCTTGCTTTTTTTATACTTAGATCGCTTTCCAAAATCAAGAAAGAGAGCAATGGAAGTCTTATTTTTCAGTACTGCTATTATCGTCTGACATCTATCGTCAAAACATTTTAGTTTAAAATGTTAAATTTTAGTCCATCTTTTACTGAAATTTAAGTCCTTGAGAATTTTATAATAAGTCTTAAAAAGTACTTGAATTTTATTTTTAAAGTAGAGCATGAACCCTGTAAAAAGACTAAGCTAAACTAATTAATAATCTCTTCAAAAAAAATTTTATTTTGGTACAAATTTTATTTTTTGAAAAGTGCATTTTATTACTTTTAAAATTTGTTAAGCTAATTAGTTTTTTGCGATATTTATATCTCATGTTTTAAAAGTTTGCCAGTATTAACTTATTTTTTTTTCTTTTGTAATTTTAAATAGCTTTTTGTGTTGTCATGGGTCTGTCAAGGTTTTTCTGAGAGGTACCTATTTTGCAAAAATTTAGACATAATTTGTGAAAATTAACAATTATATAAAAAAAGGCAACACAAAAATATGGATTTATCGTTTCTTACGGGATACAAAAATAAAATTTTAAGAAAATGTATTTTGTGAAACTACCGTTCTTCCTAATGTTGAATTTGTAAAGGTATTGCTAAACAGTAGTAAATTTGGCCTGGACAGACCCCTGTCTGCGTCTTATAATTTTCATACTGAATGTATACAAAGTCTGTTGCTAAATCAAAAGTGTCAGTGTTTTGAAGATATTGAAGGTTGCATCCAGTAATTTTAATTTGTTCATCAGTTGTGCATTTGTTGAGTCAACGGTCCCTCAGTTTTCTTTGCCCAAGGCCTCAAAATGTCCTGTAACAAATCTAGAAATTGTCCAGTTTTAGCATTGGCAATATAACATTAATAGCTAATGAGTTTGAATTCTTGCAATTTAACAATATTTTGCATCAAATTTTTTACCAAAATTACAATTGATTAAAAAATAAGTATGTGTTATAAAAAAAATTTTAGTCTCTAATTATCTTGAGGCTCGCAAAAAATATGACTTCGGGGTCCTAAATCTCAGTCGCAATATTAAATAATGCGTTTTTGCGAATAATATGCTATTTTTATAACTGCTGAAGTTTTCATCTGTTATTCTTGACCGTTGTGTCAATTTTAAAGTTATAAAAGTCTGTTATATAAAAAAAAATTTGTCTCTAATTATCTTGAGATTCACAAATAATATGACTATGGGGTCCTAAGTCTCTGTCGCAATGTTAAATAATGCGTTTTTGCAAATAATATGCTATTTTTATAACTGCTGTTAAGTTTCATCTGTTACTCTTGACCATTATATTATTTATTTATTTAATTTTTTTATCGCTATTTCAAATTTTCCTTTACTTACGTATATTTTACATGCAACGAAAAATAAAATATCCAGTCAGCCACTCTAACGTGACGAGCTACATGAGACTTGGTTGTTGACCAGGTCTGCTTCAGAACTACCTTCTCGTGCTTGAATACGAAAGTCCTCCCACCCCTTCGTTATTTGTTAACTTAGATTTCTATTTAAACAGGGTTGCCAACTTTCTATGCCTTTTTGTAAAAATTTATTCTATTGGTAGCATTGTTTATATATTAACTTATTTTCCACCCTTCTGCATACTTCCAATAAATGATTTAAAAGTTCATATGCAACGCCATTTTGTTCCAGCTCTTTAGGTAGTGAAGCTTTTGAAATGTTGGCAAAAATTCTGAAAGCTTTGGTTTTTAAATTTCTACCTCTATAAAATATTTTTCAAAAAACGTAGTTGTTAACAGGCCTGTCATAGTAATCTAGTTTTAGGATTAAATTCAAACAAAACATCGAATTTAGCATAGAAAATATAAATTTTCGTTTTAATTTTTCCAAGTAAAACATTTTTTAGATTTATTTTGATTGCAATGTGGTCCATATATTTACAAAGCTGCACCAAAAGTTCCCTAAAAAAATTTTTAAAAAATCGGTGAAATAATTTTTCGCTGGATACATTTAAAATTGCCTGTCTTTATCTAGAAAGACGCTTGCCAACTATTTTCTTTCTATTTCTTATGCTAGGAACGCTAAAGTAGAATTTCAGAAAACTGATACGCAATAAGTAGCTTATACAAAAATGCCAAATATATCAAACTCTCAATTTTGAATTTTCTGTCGCTTGCGTTGATTTTTTCTATTGCTCTGCAGTATTAACTCAAAATAAAGGCAATGATGCCTAGTAAAAAGTAACTTTATTGTATAGTTAGTCAAATTAATTTAGTATTCATTTGTCTAAATATCAGTATATAAGTTTCTCCTCTTTTTAACCCCTTCCATCGACAAAGAATATAGAGGCCTCCCTCTACATTCTTTGCCATCGAAACCCTCAATAAAAATTTTGTGAGATTTTTCATGAAAAAATAACGCTTTCTTGGCAAAACCAATCATTTTTTCTTCTACTAAATTTGACTACACTATTTAAAGGTAGACGAGGATCATGGAAGTTGATGCTTCACAATTTTATGACTATAGGCATGATCGTTTCAATGCAGTCATTATTGCGCGCAACGAACAGCTTGCGTAACATAACTATATTATTGTTTTTATGAATAGTTTTAATTTTACTGCAACTGGATAGGCTTCAAACTGTCACTGAACTACCTTCAGAAAATCAATATTTTTATTCACAAGATTGTAATATTTTTTAAAATAATCACTAAAAAACTTAAATTTTTGTTTCTGAAGACAGTGTCACGTAATATCTTTGTCGTAAAAATGTGCATGATGTCGTATAATATAATCATCAATCAATTCAATAAATAAATTAAAATGAGGTATTAAGAATTCGATATTCTTTATGCTCCCAAGATCGAAGATCAAACTATTGTGAGCTTCTTATCAATGCATTATCTTTTCCAAAAACACCTTCATAGAATGGAACTTTTTCAACAAGAACCAATATGCAAGGATGTGGAATCAGCGTATCACATTTTATATTAGTGCAATGACCTTCCACGATTTACCACTTTATGCACTCTCCATCCTAAAGAGCTATACATCAGCTCTATTAACACGTTGACTGTCGCGTCACCCGTATTGGGGTCAAAGTTAAAGTGACCACACGTCCCGCTTTTTGGTGGACTGTCCCGCGTCCCGCCGATTTTTAAAAATGTCCCGCTTTTTAGAGAATATCTGCATTTCTTATTTTAAATGTACTGTAAAAACAAATTCCTATTATTTATTAAGTATTATGGTGAATATAAAGAAATAAAAAATACATAAAATGCGTGCAGAGTAAACTAAATTAGGCAATGTACCAAGTTAGATTTACTCGGTGGTGTGCGATCATTGTCTTTACGTCTCGGATTAATTCAGATATGTGCGGACTGCCGTTAGACAGTGCGGTTTGTTGTTTTCAATTTGACGTTCGGTTTGACTCATTATTTGATTGACGAAGGTTGAGCAATAGTCGCCATAAAGTAACGGCC